GGAATGTTGGAGTACAGGAATGTCGGAGTATCGGAATGTCGGAATATCGGAATGTCGGATTATCGAAATGTCGGAGTATCGGAATGTCGGTCAAAAAAATTTTGGTCAAAAAAATTTTGTTCCAAAAAATTTTTGGCACAAAAAAATTTTGGGAAAAAAAATTTTGGTCAAAAATTTTGGTCCAAAAAATTTTGGTCTTGAAAATTTATTAACACACTAACAATTATATATTATTTAATATTATTATTGTCTCACTATTTGAAATAAATAATTAGGTACGGTGCAAATAATTTTTGGTCCAAAAAATTTTGGTCTAAAAAATTTTGGAAAAAAAATTTTTGGTCCAAAAAATTTTGGGAAAAAATTTTTGGGAAAACAAAACTTTCAGTAAAATTATTTTGCGATTATTTATTGGTTATTAAATTTGCGGTATTTTATGGTAACCGCACACGACGTGCAATACAGCTAAGAAAATGTTAGTCAGATCCGTATCATTGTTCGCATATCCCAAAAAAAAAAATTGCATGCCTCACCCACCGCAAGCCCTAAAGGGCGACAGAAATGTCGCTGAATGAGCCGGGGTGGCGATGCGGGTTACCCACACAAGGGTGTCCCGTACGCGACAGACAGACAGACAAACAAAAAGTATTTATTACAGTAATTAATTATACATTTTGCATTGCTATTTTTAGTGCATATTTTTTACCCTTGGGTACTTTATACATCATATCTGATCTTAATATATACAGTAAATGTTGATTATTATTACAGCGAGATGTTTTACAAATTGAGTGGCAAAGAAAGAGGTAAGAAAACTTTTCCTCAAAAAAAAGCCACAGAGCAATATTTATAATTATACATAATTATACAAAAAAAATAAAATAAAATAAAAACTAAATAAAAGATTTATTCTCATCCAAGTATTAATTGCCACTATGGGTCGATCAGTATATATTTTGGCATGGCGTGATTGCCATACCAAATATCGTCTCTTGTGTATTGGCCGAGGCCCGCGATATTAATATTAGGATGATCCCCACATTTTAGATAAAAATTCTCAGTGAGCTTTTTTATATAGTCGAGTATTGTCGGTACGTCAGTCTGTTTGTGTATGTATTTTGAAGAGTAGTAATGTCTAGTCAGTGGGTCCCTTATTTTGTTAAGTACTATTCGTAGTGTCTTATTTTGTAATGTCTGTAGTTTCTGTAAGTTAGTCTTAGTCGTCGCGTTCCATGCCGGAGCGGCGTATGTCAGTAGCGGTCTTATTAGTGTCAAGTAAAGTGTCCGCTTGTTTTGCACGCTTAGCGGGCTGTTCTGGTTCAAGAGAGGTCTCAGTAGATTCAACATCCCGTAAGCCTGTCCAATTTTTGTATTAATATGTTTTGTGAAGCTGAGTCTATGGTCCAGGGTCACACCAAGATATTTGACATCCTTCGACCACTCAACTTCACAGTCCAATACTTTAATTTTGTCCAAGTCAGTCAGTCTAGTCATGGCATTTCGGCTCTTTGTAAATAAAATTGCCTCCGTCTTTTGCGGATTGATTTTGATCTGCCATTTGTCAGTATATTCGGTCAGCTTGTCTATGTGTGTCTGTATCTTTGTAGTCAGTAGCGTCGGTGATCGTGATGATTTGTATATGGCAGTGTCGTCAGCAAACGTCAGTAACGTTGTGTCGGCGTCAGTGGGTATGTCGTGAATGTAGACGTTAAACAAGGACGGTCCCAGGATCGAGCCCTGCGGTACTCCCGCCGTCACTTGTTTAACCGTCGAAAGTCCGTTGTCTACTCGTACAGTGAAGTTACGGTCTGAGAGGTATGAGTGTAAAGTTCTCGTTATGTACGGTGGAAAGTTGAGTTGGATAAGTTTATGTACAAGTCCGTCCATCCAGATGGTGTCAAACGCCTTCTCAAAGTCGAGTAACACCAATCCGGTATTGTTTCGTCTGTTGAAGTTGAGTACTGTATTTTCTATGAGTTTTGTCAGTGGGTGTAGTGTAGAGTGTCGTTCTTTGAATCCGTATTGTGTATCAGGTATAATTTTGTTGTGTCTTATGTGTTTGTTAAGTCTTTTGAGTAGTACCTTTTCGGCTACCTTACTCATTGTGTTGAGGAGGCTGATCGGTCTGTAGTTCTGTGGCATGTCTGGCTGTTTCCTTGGCTTCACTATTGGAAATATGATGGAGGTTTTCCAAGAAGCGGGAAAGCAGCCTTTTGTCATTAGTCTATTTATTATGCGCGTAAGTAAAATGTAGGCGTTCGTCGGCAGTTGTTTAAGTATTATGTTTTGTAGTCCGTCCGGTCCTGGTGCTTTCCTGTTCGGTAATTTTTTAACTATTGTCTTTATTTCAGAAACTGTGGCAGGGTCTATTCGTAAATCTTTGTCCCTGTGGAGATCAGTGAAGTTTTGAATTGTCTCGTGTACGTCTTGTTTCAGGTCTGCGTTTGACATATTGGCATTTTGTTTATGGATGTTCTCAAAGTTTTTTGCCAATATTTCCGCCTTGTCTGCTGGTGTCGTTGCGTAATTGTTGTCTGTTAATTTGAGTGGAGGTATGGATGTTGGTTTCTGCGTCAGTCTTTTTGCTGTCTGCCAGATTTTGTGTGGGTCAGTATTTAAGTTCTCGAGTCTTTTGGTCCAAGTGTTGTTTCGGTGGTCACGTATATCATTGGAAATAATTTTGGTCAGTCTGTTCACATGTTCCTTGAGTAGTCTGTCACCGGTACGCTGCCACAGTTTCTTTGTGTGATTTTTAAGTTGTATTTTCAATAAAATGTGTTCTGGCAAGTCGTTGTCTGGTGTTGTTCTTGAGTCTAGTGTCGGTATAGTCTGTTGTACGGCGTCTGTGATTGTCAGTGTAAGGTGTGTTACAGCCTCCTCAATGTCTGCGTTGGTATCGATTGGCATTGTGTGTCGTGTGTTATCTGTGATGATCTGAAAATTGGCCAGTTGGCTCTGGTGTAATCTAAAAATTTGCGTTTGGGAGTCTGGTCGAGGTCTATTCTGTCTGAAATGGTCATGAAAACTGGATTATGGTCGGAGTTAAAAAGTGTTCTTGTTATGGGTTCGGATGTTACGTGTAGATTTTTTGTCAATGCCAAATCGATCGTGCTGTGATGGTGTGTCTGTACGGTGGCGTATCTGGTCGGCGTGTCAGGATAGTGTAGTTGTGCGTTCGTGGTGTTGTGTTCAGTCAGGTATTCGTAAAGTCTGTTTCCGTTCGCGTTGTTAAAGTTACAGTTCCAAGATGTATGTTGTGCGTTAAAGTCTCCTGCCATAAGTACAAATCTGTTCGAGTCCAGTAGTCTTTGTAAGTCCGCATGTTCTAGTCCGCTTGCCGGGATGTGAATCGATATTATGGTTACTTTTTGACCTCTCTTGTATACATTAATAGCTGTTATTTCAGAACCGCCCGCTGTCAGGTTTGGCACTTGCTCGTGTCTGATGTTAGACTTGATCAAGATCGCAGTGCCTCCCCATCCGCGTGCTACCGTCTGTCTGTCGTTCCTGTAAACTTTGTAATTGTTGATATAGAGTTTGTCCGTAGGTTTTAAGTGTGTCTCGTTGATCAGTACTATGTCCAAATCGTATTTTGTTATTGTCTGTCTCAGTTCGTCCACGTTGTTTTTAAGTCCGTTAGAGTTAAAGTGCATTATGTGTAAGTCGCGCGTTTGGTTTATGGAGATGCTGTTAAAAAGTTAAGTATTGTTGTGTATTTTTCGTTATATGTCATGTTGGTGTTTAGTGATTTTGTCAGTTTGTAAAGCTCACTGAAAATTTGTTTTACCTGGGGATCTGCAAACAGCATCCTGATCTCGCCCATAGCAGCAAAAAGTCCCTCTGGTGTATTGAAATCTGGATCGGACTGGCTGCAGGCAGGCCGGGCTGGCGATTGTGATAGTTCATGCCGGATCTGTGATGATGATGATGCAGGCCGGATCGGTGATGTTGATGGTGTTGGATCAGCCGGTAAAGGTGAGGACTGGATCATGTTTCGAAATGATGACCTTGGAACAGGGAGTTGAGAAAACGCTGATTTTGCATTTGGGCCAACATTGGTGTTATTTAATGCTGAAGAAAAACTCCTCGTCAGCGGCACTGGTGTTGGTGCTGGTCTGTATATTTGTCTTCTCCTGAGAGCATCACTTTCCTTTTTCTCCTTGTAGTTGAGAAGTGCACTGCACTTTGAATAGTTTGCCGGGTGTTCGTTGCCACAGTTCACACACATCGGTGCCTCAGTTGGCAGTTTCTGGCACGCACCTGGTGCATGCATATTGAGGCACTTTATACACCTGTACTTTAGATCGCAGGTGTACGATGTATGACCGAAGTTCAAGCATTTGTGGCACTGCAACGCTCTATTCTGTGGTCTATAGGTCTCCCAGGAGAAGATGTGTCCACCAATGTTGGTTATACGTTTCAGCTCCGCCATATCCTGATCTTTGTCGACTAAAATTATATATATTGGCAGTTTATGTTGACTACCGTCCGACTGTTTTCGTGTAACTTGCACCACTTGCTTTATTTTAGCTCCTTTCAGTTGCAGTTCTTCGCGAACTTCTGTTTCAGTAATAGATGGATGGAGTCCCGTAATTGTAATTTTTTTACCCAGATTTTGTTTTATGGAGTAGGTGTAGAAAGGGTAATTACATTCGCGCAATATGCTTTTTATTTTTTCGTGGTCAGTGATTGAGTCGGTATAAAATTTGTGTAAATTATTTTTTAGGAACTGATACCTGAAATTGATCTTGGTTGTATCCCGGATATAGCGGATGGTTTTCAGTTCTATTTCGGCTTTCACAATGATAGGCGGAATTTTTTCTTGTTTCGTATCTATTTTCTTCGATGGTGCTGCCTGTACGCCTGAAGTGGATGGCTGCGACCCGACATCAGTTTTCTCGATCTCCTTGTTTTTGGCTTTCTTCCGCCGTTTAACCTTCTTATATTCCTCAAGCTCCCTGTCCGTGTCCATATCGGTCCGATCAGATAGCGCATTGTACTTATTTTTGAGGATCTCGCTCGTCAATACCTCCATTTTCTGTGTTTTCATTATTTTTAGTTTCTTCCCAGGCGCCTGCCTGGGAATATCCTTGAATTCTTCAATATACACAGCACTGATTTTAATAAAATTAAACTAAAGACTTGGAAAAATTTAAATTTAGAAAAAATCACTTGCTAATATGGCTTATCCTCTAACCATTAGCAACACCAATCCGGTATTTGGAAAGAGGAGTCAGCAGAAGGCACGTTCACCTTATAATTTTGACAAGATATTAAAAATCTTGTTTGAATTACACCCGATTGCTTTTAAAAAAGCACGATTTCAAATCGATATCGGGTGAATTCCAGACTTTATTCTTATTACACAATAACCGAATGACATTCACTGAAAAAACAAAAAATGTCCCGTACGCGAGAAAGGGAATTTAATTATTAACTGTGCAGACAGTACTGCAAAGCGTGCGTTATGGGCTGTAAAAAATATATAACTTGTTATCAGTACAGCACAACGAGAGTTAGATATGGAAAAAAATAACATAAAATTTAGTAAAAACTTGTATTTAAACTTTTCAATAAATTAACATTTTTCCTTCAAAATTTAATGTCAAAAATCATTCCAACTCGGAGAACTACGACGACTTTGAAATCTGTCGCGATCGCTAGTCGACATGAGACCCGGTCGACGGGATCCAAAAAAGTTGAAGTGAGACAACACAATCAGATTTTGTTCCAACGGATCTCGAGGTTCATTTGAACAAAATAAAACCCAACAACAAAAAGTTGAGTTAATTGAAAATTCCATGCGTGCAACGATAACCATAAACTTGTCAAAAAAATTGTAGAAAAAAAAATTTCTATCATCTTTCATCTTTTCTATTTATAATACTCATATTTAATCATTTCATATATCACGCCACCATTGAGATTTATATAAAAATGACCGTGATCATGCCATCGGGTTCAGCACAAAATCTTCAAATATATATATATATATATATATATATATATTTGAAATTAAAAAAAAGTTTTTCTATATATATATATATATATATAAACTTTTTTTTAATTTTATTTTGAACAGCGATCAGAACTTATGAGTTCTATAAACTGTTGTGATTAATATCTTATAAACTACGTTTGTTTTTATTATAGATGGCAATACAAACAGTTGTCTCATCTCTAAGAGCTGAATTTTTATTATTACAATTACTGTGATAGTGATGCAACAATTGATTGGTGCAACAATGCCGTATTAGGGCTGTTTTTTTTACTTGGAAACATATTGCTACCTATATTTCCAAGCAAAAAATCGTTGTCACTGCTGCCTGACAACAGGCTGCTCGAAGTGGGTATCGAACCCGGGGCCCCTGACCCAGTCGTTCTAGCCACTTGCCCACGAACGAGCCCTGATAACAGACTGTCATAGAGAAAATGTTAAAAGTAAAAGAAAAATCAGTTTTCTGCTCTCCTGAGCGGAGAATGGTGTGCGATTTAGTAAGAGACAAATGTAGGGAACTGGTATTTTATTTAATTTCTCTTATTAAATAAGTTGAAATTACAATATTGTGTTATATATGTTGTGTATTTTTATAATATATAATAATAAAAACAACATTGTTTTGTAAGTGATGTTATATTTTAAAATTTTATCAAAATATTAATATAGCTTAAAGATTGAAATATAATTTCCTGGTGGTTAGAACCAACGTTAGTAGAAATCACGTAAATTTTTTTCGATATCATTTATGGTTACGCCAAATATTATGTTTGAAAGAAGGGGCCACTTTGATATATTTTCAATGATATCTCGGCTAAAAGATAAATTACAAAGTTGAAAATTGGTATATCGGATATTTTGTAATCGATTGTTTTGCATAATGTGGTTAGAACCAACGTGAGTATAATCACGTAAATTTTTTTGCGATATCTTTTATGGTTATGCAAAAAAGTGAGTTTCAAAGAAGGGGCACTTTGGTGTATTTTCAATGATATCTCGGCCATAAGACAAAGTACAAAGTTGAAAATTGGTATATCATATATTTTCAAAAAGACCTTTAAAATGGCGTTATTATTTAAATACCAGGGTGGAATCAATTCTGTATGACAAACAATGCACCTATACCCTTTCGGGGTCTAATTTATAAAAAAATGAGCAAATCGTATTTTCTGGAAAAAACAAACTTCTCCTTGGGTAAATTTATGCAAAAGGACTCCACTGACGAGCAAACTAAAGAGAGTCTTTTTGGTTCATACACTTACTTTCTCCAATTCGTTCAATTCGAAATTTTTTTCTGAAAATGATTGAAATAAAACAAACAAAATAAAGTGCACAATATATAATATATCATAAATTAATATGCTTATTCAATTAAATATTCGTTTCTACATTTACTGCGTAATCGGTGAATTTGAAACTATTATTTGACTTTCTTCCATCACTTTTTTTCGCATGCCGTAGATGAAGTAGAATACATAACCTATATGTAAGTATTTAAAAAAAAAATCAGTAAATAATAGTCAACCTGAAATCCGGTTGAAACTAGGGTCAAAATTTACTTGTACTCCTCCATGGCATAATAAAATATTAATGATGTAGTAAACATCAAATGTATTTATTTTTATGAAACTATAATTTTTAAATAGATTTAAAAAAACAACGATTTTCCACATGAGTGTAATAACATGTTTATTTATTTATATTATCAATATATATATATATATATATATATATATATATATATTGTAAAAACAAAATTGAACAATCAACTTACATAAAAAAATAAATAGACGTAAAACTTGATTTGAAAATATTTTATCTAGTTTTTTGCCAGAATATCGAGATATATCATTTTTTCTAGACTTTATTATATAGCGTCAATATTTACCTGTAATAGCTACAATAATTAATTCAATCCAAACAGCTACTATTGCGTGGCTTATGAGGTATATATTACAGAATATGCACAGACATGGAACAAATGGAACTAATGGAACCTGCAAAATCATTAAAATTAAAATAATGTAATACATAAAAGTTACATACATAACAAAACTACTTTACTTTAAAAGTTAACACTGTCCTATCCTCCGGTTGACAATATATTGGTATTGTTAGTGCAAATAAGACGGAGAGCAGGACGACAGTCACCAAAATGCAAAGAATAGGTCTTTTTTCATAGATATCCCAAGCCACTCGGTCCCAGATACACAACATTACACTAAGAATTACTAAGAAATAGATTAGTAAGAAAATATGTTTTCTACTCAAATTAGGATAAATTTGCTCAAGTCATACAGCTACTCAAGTCATTTTTTTATGAAATTTTCACCAATATTTTATAGACTGGATTTTTATTTGACAGGTTTTTATAAAAATAATATGATTCTGAATGTTTTTGACCTAATTAAATTGTAGTATTTATTTATGTTAAAATATTAATTTTAATTCTATACTTGCAGCTTTAGTGCCAAACTCCTTACTCGTATCGACTTTATAGAGAAATGTTTATGGAATTTTTATGGACTCAATCATTCTATATTTTGCTACTTTTTTAAAATATTATTTCATTTTATTCGATAATTTAATAATTATGTTCGACATGTTAACTAATAACTAACTAGTGGTGTATGACATCGTGCCTTAAAGCAAATTGCCGGAACTTCCCGGACCGTAACGAAATGTTCGAGGAATATTAAATGTTTTCAAATAGATTATTATAAATAAATACTGTATCATCGTCTAATATTTATAGGAACTAAATTATTTATTTAAAGTATATAAGTGAGCTTTAGAACTTTATTAAGAATTAAAATTAAAATCTGTATTATTTTCGATTTACAAAAAAAACTTTTTTTGAAAAAACTTTTTTTTCCAAAAGCGATTGTTTCGTCAACACAAGCAGAAAGCTTTTTGAATCATTCAAATCGGATGCTTAGTTCTCTCAAAAACTTTCATTTTTTGTACATTTAGTTCCGTATCTTTGAAACGGCTCGACCTGCCTTTGCCAAAAACTAATCAGCACTACAAATCGGTTGATCCGTGCGCCCGAAAACGTGGACGAACTAGTAGGGCGCATGGTATCGTGCCTTAAGACAAATTGCTGGAACTTCCCATACCAAAAAAAATTTTTTTTTAAAGATTAACATTGTTGAAAAACATTTTCTCTGAAAAAAATAGATTTTTGAGAAACTACAAATTTTTGACAAAAATTTACTTTTTTTGAAAAAAAAGACTGAAGAAAAATTTATTTTGCAATATTTTGGAAATTCTGAACTTTTTTTCAAAGCAATCGTACTGCTTTAACCGCATTGAGTCGAAATATTTAAGCGCGTAAGCGCCGCGTCGCCGTCTAACGGATAAACATTGGTACGGAACCGATAGGAATGTAAACAAAATCTTCGAAACCGCTAGACCTGCCTACATAAAAATTTGATCACTTCTTCATACATAACATTACATCTGGATACATGTGAAATGTTTTTTGAATTTTTAAAATCGGACGCTCTGCTCTCTTAAAAACCGTGTTACCGTTTTTAGCAATTTTTTCCCCATATCTTCGGAACGGCTAGACCTGCCTTCGCCAAAAACTAATCAGCCGTCTCCTTATCAATACGAATCGAATGTTTCTTAAATTATTTAAATCGCTTCATCCGTGTTCCCAAAATCGTCGACAAAAATTTGTATCCGCACACACACACAGACACATACATCCATTTTTTCTAAGGTATGCCAAAAAGTTCAGAAGGTTTTGAAATGTAAAGATATATAAACATTTTCATTTTCGATTTTTTTGCGATTACTATAACTTGCCCTACGGTAAGTTAAAAATTGTATCCATACACGCATACACACACATCCATTTTTCTGAGGTATGCCAAAATCTTCAGAAACCTTCAAAACGTGAAAATATGCAAAAATTTTCATTATCGATTTTTGGCTCATTACTATACTACCTCATGGGAAGTTAAAAAATCTTGATTTCAGACCAAATTCTATATAGTTTTTAGTAGTAGATTTGACTAAGACAAGTGGTCGCCTTATTTATACCAAAAGCACATTTCTGTAAAACGCCTTGGGATATCAATAAACTGCTTACTTTAATAAAAAAAAACAATATCAGTTAATCATAATCCAACACATTCAGTGAACGCCAAAGATTTTCTTTTAATTTAGCTGTACTAAATACTTATTATTTCATTAAGAAGCACGACTTGGGCAACCTTACCCTATGATATTCAAAAATAGACAATATTATATTATTACATAAAAAATTGCAGGTATCATTTTAAAACAAACAACTTTTTATGATGCTAAATTAAAAACGTTATTTGTATAAAATAAAATCTCTAATAAAAAGCCGCATTGAATAGTGAGATATATTTACTTATTTATAAATTAAATAGAACACCAGTGTGGGGATATCAAGCAGGCTGGTTTTGATTTGTAAAAAAACAATGGTACATGTCATGTATATTTCTGATATCGAAATATTTTTATAGTCAATAAATTTTATATTATTTTTTATGTTGGGAGTTTCTAATTTAATATATTATCATAATCATTACAACTCCCACATTGGTGACTCACGACGATGGCGATGAAGATAAAGGAGTTTTATTTTTCGAGGATTTAAGAAAAATTGAATTTGACGCAGCACCATAGTCACTGGTCTTCAGAGACGACCTATAAGGTACGTCCAGTCCAATCCATCATAGTTAACGCACTTACTATCTGGATCAGACTTCCGAGGTTACTCATTTGGTATACCCAGACCTCAGTATTTATTGCTGACAGAAAAAATAATTTGGAGCCTGAACTTTTCATTGGAATGCAATTCAACCTCTCTTTCTCTGTTAACTCAACAAATCGTCTTATAATGCTACCTCCCATTATCGGTGACAACGACGAGTCAAAACAAAATTTGACATAATTTATTGGATTCCACAATTCTGGACTCTTATGTCAAAGAAACCAATGATCCTGATTTGGATAAAGAGCCAACTTATTTCTCTGATCGGAACTCATCAGATACGAATGCAACGCTTGCAGAAATGGAAACTGTACCCATAAATTATGCATTCTAAACATTTAGTAATTCTGATATAACTAATACCAATTACATCGAGGCTGAATCTTAGAAGTTCACCAACATCGAGGTACAGGAAATTTACCACATTTTTTTCTAGTCAGAACCTTATGCAGAATATGGAGTTGATGGCAGGTCGAATCACCACATACGGTGGATCTGCTGACGAAACATGGAAATTTGTAATTGACCAGTATTACAACACTGGTCTGCTATAATCTGCTTTCCCACCACATTTTTATAACGTGTTTCCCTGTATTTTCTTTTTAAACTGTGAGATCAACACTGGGCAGGGAGTGTGTGGGGATATCAAGCAGGCTGGTTTTGATTTGTAAAAAAACAATGGTACATGTCATGTATATTTTTGATATCGAAATATTTTTATAGTCAATAAATTTTATATTATTTTTTATGTTGGGAGTTTCTAATTTAATATATTATCATAATCATTACAACTCCCACACCAGCATAAAACGGTTTGTTTCTTGAATTCTATATTTAACAAGTAGTTTATGGTGAAAATATGTTAAAATCCAAATTTAGAGATTATTCATATTTATCTAAGGTCGTGTTGTAATTTGTTCTTCAATACCATTGTAGTATATTTTCTTAAAATAAAAAATAATTCTATTGTTCAATTTCAAGTTCAATATAGATAATTCAAAATATTTCACTACAAAGGTAATATAAAGAATTTCATCGTAGGTCCAGAATTACTTAAATTCGAAATTTAATATGTAGTTATTTCCTTTTTGAATTATTCCAATATGTTTAGAAATTGTCCTAATAACTTTTTAATACATGTTTATAATAATAAAATAAAAAATTGCGATCACTTACGGAATACTATTAAATTTATCTTCACCACAAAATAACTGATTGGAGTTGATATTTCCAACTTGTATTTGTTAATCATTTGGGCAAAAAAAGAATACGATCTATCTTCATTTAATGTGGTAATAATCAGCGATGTGTCACAACGATATCTACACGTAATTATTTTTAATGTTAATAAATTACTATATTATAACATTCTAAAGTTTTCATTAGTCATACCTCATTAATATGACACAAATGGCGACAACAGTGAAACACATCAAGAATAAGAGGTTCATAAGACCTATCAGCTGATATAAATCGAAGAATAATGACATCAATCCTGTAAAAGACAAAAAAATGAATTAAATTTAAAATTTTAATACTAAAAGTTAAGCTTGCGTTGGATAGCATTTAGTTATGCCAAAGAAAATATTTAATTGTTATATATTGTTTATATAGAAAATATTTCTTGTTAAAATAAAATGAATACATACATATATATCATACTAGCTGACCCGGCAAACGTTGTTTTGCCAAGTAAGGTATATTTCAAACAATTTCTAGAGAATCGAAAATATTAATACTTTAAGTGTATAATGATGTGTTGTTAGAATACTATATACAATGAGCTATTATAAAAACAATAAAACTGGAAGTTTTATACACTTTCTATAGTAAACATGGTATAATCCAATCCAAGTCTTTTTTGGTCTTTCGACTTATTGATTACGTTTCAAGTTTTTCAGATTTTTTTTTTGTATTCTGGATTTTGTGTATACAGGGTGGCTGATATGTATTGCAACAAAGTAAAGCGCTATAACTTTGTCATTTTCATTCTAAATTTCATTGTTCGAAAGCAAAAATGTCAGAAATAACATCAAATTTTAGAATTAGTTCATATTTGTTCGAATTGGCTACTTTTGGCACGAATTATGGCCTTCAAACGGCAGAAAAACCATAACACGCTGCACGAAAGTGGCTCTGGGCTATTTTGGCCCATTCCCGGCGAGGCGCCTTCTTGGGATGATCGACACTTTGGTATTTTTTAGTGCGAACCTTACTCTTCAAAATGTCCAAGACACAAAAGTCCAGCAAATTTAGATCCAGAGATTTTGGTGGCTATGATGCGATGGAAATGAAGCGAAAAACCTCTTTTATAGGCCATTTTTGGTAGACGCGTGCTGAGTTTGATGGTGCTGAGTCCTGTTGGAATGACCATGGTCTGCGATCAAAATTTTTGTCTACCTAGGACTTCAATACTGCCTTTAAGACATTTTCCCGATAATTTCGGCAATTATTTTGATCCCACGGTCGATGAATAAGAGTGGAATGTCACCATCGGCCGTTACGGTGGTTCACACCATTACCGTCGGCGGCGCTCGAGTTTTGGTGGCCAATCGAAGGTGTAAATTTTTAGCTGACCTTTTTGGCAAGTAAACCCTATCATTTTGTTTGTTCACAAACTGCTCGATTTGGAAGGACTTCCCATCTGAGAAAACCAAATTCGGTAACTAGCCACTTTCGTGCAAGCGAAGCAACCCCTTCGCTTCTTTCCGTCTAACTTTTTTTTGTGCATCAATGAGCTCTTGCACTTTTTGGATCTTCAATGGTTTTAGTTCAAGCTCATTTTTCAATATGTGTTGCATCCGTTTTTGCGATATGTTCAGCTCACGGGTCATTTTTTTACCACTGCGACACGAATTTCGATTGATTTTTGCCTATACTTTTTGGATCATTTCCGGGGTTGTTAGTGTTTTTTTTCGTCCACTTTTTGGACGCGGTGCAACACTGAGTGTATCACGGTTACGAGATATGGTACGAGAAACAAAATATTTGTTCGCATTTAAATACTGGAGGGCTCGAAATATAGCCACCTAAGGTTTTTCAGCCAAGTATGAAGCAATCGCACTACCACGCTTGACTTTCATCACGAATAACTTTTTTTCTGAATGCAATAGATCAAAATGCTTTTTTACGCTTATAAACAATTAAATAAACAATCGCTGGAATAAATCTGTCATCTGTCTGATGAGCGGTTTAGAAATGATAGCGGTCTGAAATTGGTTGCAATACATATCAGCCACCCTGTAATTGTAAATAATACTACTGAGCTTATACAAAATTTTCAAATTTCTGCGAGGAGAGATAGAAAATGAATTAAGTATTTCTTCTTTGACCTGCTTTTTGAAAAGTTTCAAGTAACATTCGATGAATTAAAGTAAATTTAATATAAAGTATATATGTAGAGCAGGGCGAGGCACAAAGGTCCAATTTGACTTTGAGCAAATATAAACTATATAGTAAAAACCATAACTATTATATCACAACAAATAACACATATCAAACGAACAATTATCTGACTACGTTCAGTAAACTACCTTCTACTTCATCATTGTAGAAATGTGCTTTTCTGATGCCTTCCAACAATTTGTTATCTAGACCTTTTTACCCTATAGGCGGAGTAACTTGATACGGGCAGGTGGCAAAAAGGTTTAAAACCTTATTATAATTTTAAAGGTAATTTACAAAATAATTACATTTTTACCTAATGCTAAAAAATTACCAACGGAAGAAAATACTTCTAATATGGATTTTCAAAGATTACCGTTTATCTCCTGATAGCAATGACATAAAAATCAAGATTATAGCTGGTTATACATCTTTTTCCCTCTACTTTCAAGTATTGTTGTTAAACAATGCTTAACATTACTGGTTTTTGACACATCGGTGGTGGACTTTTTTAACCCTCGACCTTCATATACTACTATCTATTCTTTGATAAATTCTGGGAAATTATAACTGAGAAAATGTTATTCTAAAAATGTCCCTTTGATCGATTCCAAATTTAGGTTTTGATTTTAAATAACATAAATAAAAAAATATATATTCTAGAAAATGTTTTATAAATACCAATGAGTATATAATTATACAAATGATATCTTTCAGAGCATTTTTCAAGACTAAGACTGGCCAAATCGGTTTAGCCGCTTTTGAGTTTTAGCGGATCATTTTATCGAGAGCCTCATTATATATATATATATATATATATATATAAAAATATATATATATAGAAACTATTATGATAAACAATTAATTTTTTCTCTCACCTGTGAACAAAGAACTGACTAACACCGAGACATATGGTACCTTCGTCTTGTCGTGGACTTTTTTCAGGGCAGAAAATAGTAATCCATCGTGGGCGACTGCATACAACAATCGTGGCAATCCAAGAACTGATGAAAATAAACTTGCAGAAATAGAAAATAGTGCACCTGCACCGACCAACCATTCCATATCGTGCAGACCAAGTTGATTGAACAATGTTATGTATGGAGCGACAGGGTCCTAGAATATTGAGCATATGTATGAATATAAACTTATATACACATTATTATTAGTAATACACACATCCATTTTTTAAGTTCAGAAATCTTGGAAACGTAAAGATATAAAAAAATTTAAACTTAACATCAATATTTACCAGTTGATAATAAGGTGCCATCATAGTGAGTCCAATGCCAACTCCTAAATATGTTAAATAAGTGAGTACTGATGTGATTATTATAGCCAATGGGATATCTCTTTCGGGATGAATTGCCTCTTCGCTCATCGTAGCAACATTGATCATGCCGATGAAGGCAAAAAATGCTTCCGATGCCCCATGTAAAACACCGCGAACGCCGAATGGAGCGAAGCCACCTGTACCCGGTCCAGGGTCTTTCACAGCCTGCACTCGTTTAAGCGGAATATAATCTATAGGAGGATCTAGACTCCAATTCGATGGATCACCTAAATATAATCGAAAATGCCGTATGAAAATAAAACTTATAATATACTACTTCAGATACAATACTAATATTTTTTTATTATTTTTATTTTAGGTAGCAAACTATACAATAAGTATATTCAGCTCCTTTTACAGACAATTTAATATGACAGCATGTAAAGGATAGCTATTCTGCGATAGCACCTTGTGTAATTATATCATTAGACTTTATGTAGTTTAATGTAATAATTCATTACAGTTCATCTTTTACTTTTAAGTCGATTTGGTGGTAAAGGCTTAAGCAAGTCACACGCTAATTGATTGGGATGTCGACTTAGCCAAGTCTTGTATCTGGAGCAAAAATAGTTAATATCTTCTTCCACAGTTAGAATCCTAAGGTCTTGATGTATTAGCCAGTTTGGTACGTATTTTGGGGCATTCACGATTTGTTTCAAAAGTTTGTTATGGAACCTCTGTAGAATTGCTTTGTTTAATTTACTAGCCGCACCCCATAGTTGTAGATCGTAAGTCCATATTGGGTTAATAATTGTCTTGCTAATAAGGTATTTATTTTCTAACAAAGCTTGTGATTTACATCTCATTAACCAATTAAATTGCCTACGTTCAAGGTTCAAGGTGCTGGTGCTTTTTAATTATATGTTTATGCCATCCTATTCAAATGTGTTCCCTAGGGTGATCCTTAATATGGACATTTTCGAATTACCTTGCTCCCAAGGGCTCAAACGGTTTCCAATTGATAAAAAACAATTTTCTGAGAGTTTTAGCTCTTAATGTTAACTTTAGGTATAACTTAGCGTCAAATGAATTAAAAGTGAAAATTCGTGTCATTTTTTATTGAAAATTTTTGAAATTTTTTTCATGCTATTTCCATACAAAACTTTGATTGAATTGCGCTCTATCTAAAAGACAATCTTAAAAGCTGAAACATTCAGAGAATTGTTATTTATCAATTTGGAACCCTTTGAGCCCTTGGGAACAAGAAAATTTGAATGTGGTCCTTAATGTGTGTCCATATTATGGACCACCCTACTATTCCCATAAAATTAACTACATTACAGAATACAGGATCCAATTCACCACTCAATCTAACAGGTGGGCATGTACCTTGTCGTAGGGTAAAATTAGCATAAACTGATTTAGAATTGTTTACTTTTATATTTCATCATTTCATCCACTATTCTATTTCATATACGTGTTTAACACATTTCATCAATTTCGTGTTATGTATTTAAGTGTTGACGTAAACTGTAATCAGTAGCTACTTAGAAAACGCCACAGAACGTGTATATATATGCTTCGACATAGATTCTGAAAAATCGCTTAAGAGCCCAGAAAAATTGTAAACTTCGTTGAATTTTTATAATTCAATCGTTTATCGTGGGAGTCAAGATCACCAATTATTTTTGTCAACCTTGCGCAGAAACTGCCTGACAGATCTTAACCAAAAACTAATGAACGCAATTCACTCCCCATGTCTTTCGAACAGTTTTTGAATTTTAAAAGATAGTTGTCTAAATCAAGGACAAAATTTTGTGTAGCTAATTACAAACCAAATTGACCGATAGTCGCGCAAAAGTGACCAAAGAAACTCCTTATCTAGTTACATTTGAATGGCTTTTAAATTTTCAAAATCGGTCCAACGATTTTTAAGAAAACATCGGTGAAATGTCAAAAATCGGCTCACATACACACACACATACCTTTTCCAGATTTGGTCACATTAAAAACAAAGTTAACAAAATGAAATTTTTCGCGAAAACAAACTTCTTCGTCGAGAAGGTAACTAGTTAAACGTGCAATTTTTTTAGTTTTCATTATTAATATCCACATATAATATTTTATTCGTTAAAAATTTAAAGTTGTGATATGTTGAATACTGTGATTATTGTACTTACAATGAAAGAAACCTATGAGCATTAAAATCGCTGTAAGTATGAAGCTTACTAACGTGAGTATCAGCAAAAGCATCATGGATATTTTTGTTCCAGTTAATAATACACCTGAAATATATTCAAATTTTATATATTTGCAACTTTTATAGAAATATTATGAGATGTGTATTTTTAAATTGACAGCAAAAATAATTATTTTAAAATACGTGATAATTTATAGTTAAAATATTACATATTGTAGGACTAAAAAAATTCTCAATTTTGATTACAATAATATTTTACAAAAACAGAATGGTTATTTGCTTAAATATGTACTTTCCGTGTAAAGTAATGAACTTACCATGCAAAATTATGAGCAAAACCAATGCTAGGAAATCTGGAAAAGCAGACATAAATGGAATATTCATTGGAAGCCACTTGGCCAGGCCGTAAGATATAGCATTGCCAGTCATTCGATCTATGTGAGAACTCAGACCTCGCGCAAGGCTCGACACACCTTAATGTACAATAGATATTTTCATAGTTTTATGTTTAACTGTAAATGAATAATAAACGAATAAAAAATCTTACTTAACAAAAATTGAATAATTAACGTCCATCCGATTATAAATGCGACAAATTCTCCAACTGTTACATAGCTGTAAATATATGCCGCTCCGACGCGAGGTACACGGGCGGCGAATTCAGCAAAACACAGACCTGAATCGGATCGAAGGCACTTAATTAATATTATTAATCAAATATTAAACTAGTGGTGTATGACATCGTGCCTTAAGGCAAATTGCCAGAACTTCCCGTACCGTACTAATCAAAAATCTTGGTACAAAACCCAAAAAAATGTATACAAAATGTATACACATTATTAAAATCTCTATAAAATATTTGATAATCTTATGTATATATGTCCAATAAACGTTTTTGACCGCCAAATGACATTTTTTTAACTAATTTTTATTGAGAGTCCATAATCCCTGGACCTGCCTTCTCAAAAAGTTAATCAGCTCTTCATCTTGTCAATACAAATATGTTTTCTGAATTATTAAAATCGTACGCTCCGTTCTCTTAAAAACTGAGTTACCATTTTTGAAACTTTTTGCCCCGTATCTTCGGAACGGCTAGGCCTACCTTCGCCAAAGACTAATCAGGACGTCTCCTTATCAATACAAATCGAATGTTTTTTGAATCATTCAAATCGGTTGATCGGTGTTCCCAAAATCGTCGACAAAAATTTGTATCCGCACACATACACACATATGCATCCATTTTTTCTAAGATATGCCGAAATATTCAGAAACCTTTGAAACGTAAAGATATATAAAAATTTTCATTTTTGATTTTTTTACGATTACTATAACTTACCCTCAAAGAAATCAATATAATTATCAATATAAATTGTCAAATAACAATATTATTATAAGTTGTCCACGCGTGCAGTCAAGCTAATGTTATATACTGACGATTGCGTCATTTGGAGGTTACGTTTTAGAAGTAGAAATATGCTCGATCGATCATGACTAACAACAACTCAAGCGATTATTTTTCAACAAAAGGGACCGGTAAGATAACATAATAGTTTTATCTCGAGAATTGGGTTCTTAAAAGCTAGGATCTACAAAACCTCATAAATTGTATTAATTTTTTTGTTATAGAATTGTAAAGATAAAAAAATGGCATTTCATAAGGTTCCTAAAATTTCGAAAAAAGCATCATCAGATGATATATATTCGTCACATATATATTTTTTTTAATTTGTAACCATGCACTTTAAAATATTTTATCACGATGCTATTGAACAACATACTGAATACTGTGACAAAGTATATATTTAATTAATTGTTCTGTGTAATTTGATAAACTTTGTCCCAACATAATTAAGTCCCAAGTGGGCTAAAAACTTTACAAGGTATGATTTAAAAAAAAAATAGTTTGGATTGCAATAAAATCTATATCGCAAATAGTAACTATACTAGGTATGATTGTGTAAAGAAAAAGAAACTGGTTAGGAGCTGTATCGGAAAAAAGTTACTTCAGCACGACGTCATTGAAGAAAAATGGAAGGCCTGGTATGAAGAAAAATGCAGAATGCACAAGGAAGAAAAATACAGGAACTTAAAACCCGAGGCACAGGTTAAACAAAAACAAAAGCAGTTTCTAAAATGTGGTACTGCTAATCATGACAATTACTTAATAAATACTCACAACCTAAAAAAGTAACAAAAGCAGCTATTGTGATCGAAACAACTACGGCTGGTCCTGCATATTTTCTGGCCACATCTCCAGGGACAACAAATACTCCGATTCCGAGAGTTCCTCCAAATGCAACAGCAAGTAGATCCCAGATATCACAAACTCTTTCCAGAGGAGATGGTTCGTCTAGTAAAATTCTTTTTCTGCGTGTTACTCGCTGCACAAACTTCCTAAATGGTGTTTTCGGCTGATTTCTTGAGGATAACCGACTGAAAAAAACACAAATATAAAACAATTAGTTCTGCTTGTAATCCTTAAAATAAAGCTATCAAAACAAAAATAATATAATATTTTTAACACTCATCTATTTAACTTTTTATTTATAAATTCTCAACCGTAGAAATACTCGGTATCAACGAAAGCGTAAACTTTAGAGTCTCCGTCGAAATTTAAAATTTCCGTTCGAATTTAAAAATTAAATTTTCTTCGGTTTTTTATGCATATGTAAAACAAATTCTATCGATAATTAACTATGTGTTGCAGAAATCAAACCTTAATTTATTCAAATAAAATATGAAGTGTGAAACTTATTATAATTGGTTCAATTCAATATGCTCATACCTTGAATTCATTGTAATATAAAATTAATTTACAAAAAATATAAACAATTTGTAGTCCACTACTTATTAAATTTATTACATTTTATGTTTTAAATATATTTGGATAAATGAATGAAAATTAATCAAAATAATTAGTAAATATTAGTAATGTCATTTTGACAACTAATGTTATAATCTAAGCAAACTAAAAAGAACTTAATTCTGTTTTTAAACATTTCTATAAATTAATTTTGAGAATTTTATGTAAATTCAATATTTTGGTGTCATTTTGTAGGTAATAAACATATATAATAATAATAATGATTAAAGATAATAAATAAGATAATAAAAATTTGGAATCTTTTGATAAAAATCTTCAATTGTAGAGGAATTGTAGGGTCTAAATGATTGAAGTCAGATTGAAGAAAATAGAAATCGAGTTTTTGAGAGAACGGAGTATCCGATCTGAATGATCTAAAAAACATTCAATTAGTTATCATCGGGAGAAGTGATTATCAATTTTTGGCTAAGGCAGGCCCAGCCATTTTGAAGATACAAGGCTAAATGTGCAAAAATGTCAGTTTTTGAGAGAACCGATTTAAATGATTCAAAAAACTTTCTGCTTGTTTTAACAAAATGATAGATTTCGAAAAAAAAATTGTTTCAAATGTTTTTTTCAAAAAAAATTTTTTTTTTGTATATCGAAAATAAATCAGATTTTATTTTTAATTCTGACTAAAGTTTTAATATACTTTAAACAAATAACTTCAACTTTGCAATTCAGTTTATATAATTCTTATAAATATTAGACAATGTCACAATATTTATAATAATCTATTTGAAAACATTTAATATTCCTCGAACATTTCGTTAAGGTACGGGAAGTTCCAGCAATTTGTCTTAAGGCACGATGCCATACACCCCACTAGTTTTCTTAGTTATTGGAGCTATATGACTATTATTTCTTAGTTCTTCTAATTAAAATTAAAATAAAATTTACTATCCATAAAATTGAACATTTTTAATTTACTGTTCATAAAATTAAATTCGTTTTTGTATAAACCCTAATTCTGATGCATAGCTATTATTGACGTTTTTATCATCAAGTTTTTATGTAATTCAGGAAAATAATTATCGATAAGTAATAAGATCGGATTGTACAGATTATTCATCAATATAAAAAAATTGCACTTAAAATAAATTACGTGGATTAGATTTTGCGCATCAATACAGATTATAAAATCATTATAAAATAAAGATGTATCACTTAAGATAAATTACGCGGGTTACATTTTGCACATCAATCTCGGTAAATGTCTTATACAGACTCGAATAAAATCTCGTAAAAATATTTTAAGCATTGCTATATATATATATTGCTACAGCATTGTTCAAAGTAATATCCCATAATCAACTTAATATACAAAATACATATACTTAAGATAAGAACAGTTCCAGTAAACGATCTAAGTATTTTAATTATTCATAGACTCACCATCATTGACTTATGGTGACGATTGTGAGTAAAATTATATATCAAATTAAAATTTAAGATTCGTGATTTTTTTATTATGGCTTTCAAATATCGTACAGTATTTTATCGTTTCCTTTTTCCAGTCTGAGATTTGGATTTTTGTTGACTTTCATGTGATAATGAATGGCTGGGACCTGAATTGCCGCGAGTCATCATCTTCACGAATTCTTCATAGTCGATGACTCCGTCACCATTTAAGTCCGCTTCACGCATCATCATATCGACCTACAAAAATTGATAATGAGTCATAAAAATAAGTAAATCGCCAGTTAACTGTGGCGCTCACATCAAACAGTGCGCTCAAGTTTTATATTGTCCGAACCGATCTCATGACGAGTATAATCGTCAATCGCAGATATGCTGCGCGGGTAAGATGGCAAAAAATATGGGGTAATTTTGAATATCACGACGTATCAACAAGTGAGAAGGAGTGTCCAAAAATCCCTAAAAACTCATCACGTGATTAAAGAACGTCCCCTTAAGAGCGAGGGGGCATGATTTAGAGGTTCCGGGATCGAGACGTTGTTGTTTCCAAGTGAAAATATCCCTTGCCCTGCATTGCTGCATCAATAAAAAGTCAGCCCTATTAGCATAAGGAGGCGTCCATTAATCACGTGAGCGAGTTTTTAAGGATTTTTGGTCTCCCCTCCCCCTTGGTGATACATGATGATATTCAAAATAACCCCCCCTCCCCCACCAAACATCACGTGTATTTTAGTTCGCGATAAAACTATAATTTTTTTGATTTTTTTTGAAAATATTTGAATTTAAAAAAATATCAGTTAAAAAATAAATACACGTGAAATCTAACTGTACCCCTCACTCCCCCACGTGATATATCGCAATTTTTTGTATCGCAAACCCCCCCCCCCATCTCCCTAAAAACGTCACGTGATTAATGGACGCCCCTTAATTTAAAATCATCAAATATGGATAGATTAACCATTGGATTACCCAACAGGCAAGTGAGGTTCTGATTGCTGTTAAGATAAGCAAAAAATCGTACATGCGCCATGTTTATACTCATATGTATTATAGTAGATAAGCACCATGTAATAAATTATAAATAAATATTATGAATGTAACGGTCAGAATACAAACTACGCAGATTGTAGTAAAAATTACTCATGCTACTACATTACATTGTCGAACATATATGTTCGACGACAAGCCCAACAAGCGACTTTTTTGAATATTACAAACAGACAATACAATTGTATTATATATATATAGATTATTCACAATTAATTATTGATTTTGCAAAAGTAAAACGTACCTCATCGTCTGTCAATCTTTCGCCTAAGTTAGTCATGATATATCGAAGTTCCGAGGCATCAATAAATCCGTTACCGTCACGATCAAAAACTTTGAAAGCCGCTCGCAAATCCTCAGCAACGTCTTTTGATTCGAGCATTTTTGTCATCATGAAACAAAATTCCTCAAAATCTACAAAAATGAAAAAAATCATAAAATAAAATAAAAATGGTTTGAATTCAGTCCAAAATTCTTCAGAAATCCCAAAACTGTTCCAAGGAAATTTATTATATTTTTATATGATTTCTTGAGGATAAACTCACCAATGATGCCGTTTTTATCCCTATCAATATCATTAATCATATCTATAAGATCGGCTTCAGTAGGATTTTGTCCAAGAGATCGCATAACCTAATAAAATAGAACAAATTATAATTTTTTTATTGTATAATTGTAAAATTCAATAAAAATATAATATAATTTATAAACTAACCTCGCCCAATTCCCTGGCCGTAATTGTACCATCACCATCTTTATCAAAGACTGCGAATGCCGATCTGAATTGTTGTTTTTGCTGAGAAGTCAACTTTAATCCTGATTTAGGAGCAGACATATCGAATCCTATAACTGATTAGTAAATACATATATATTAATACTACTGATAATTATCCTCAATAGATAAAAAATATCTAAACTAATCAATTTGTATCTGTCACTTTACTACCTTTTATGAATTAATGTAAAAATTTACATTTAACGTCCATCATTACTATTGGATCGTAATAATCTTTTCAAACGTGCGAAAGGTTACAGTTATTTTAATTGTTTTACATTTTAATTATTTTTTTTACTTAATTTTGTTATATTATTTTTGACAGATGTCAAATCTTAATTTAACAGCTAGATACCGTTGTAAAATTTTTAGCATAGCAAGTAAAATAAATTAATAATTCATAGAGATGAAAATGATTAACATGTAACTATAGCAATAACATTTTTATATTTAAAGTGGTTACGAATTACCTTGAACAATTTTGATCTGATGTTGGCCGCTTTCATTTTTTGTTTTAAAAATAATTGCTATGTATACATGAAAAAATAAATACTATTAAATGCTTTCTAATAAATCCTACCATTATTAAGCATCAGTATTTTTGAAAAAGGTCTTAACATCATCTACAATATTTTTCTGTAGATAATGATCAATTTATGTATTTAATTATCCATTGCTCGAACAAAAATTTTAAATTAATTGTGACTGTAAAATCTGATTGTGTATCTGTAGAGCAATGAAACACCAATTTATAATTGAAATCTTAATGAACATTTAGTATTGGTATCTATATAGATGATATTAGATTTTTCATTGTAAAATGCTTGTAATTTTTATAGAAATAAATAAAAAAAAAAGTAACATACGCATTACGAGACCAACAAACTCTTCAAAGTCGATTACACCATCGTCATTGAAATCAGCTTCTGCAGTCATCGATCTTACCTAAATATAAATAAATATTCATTTACTAAAATAAAAATGTAGATAGTTTTCATTGTGATAAATCCCTTAATGTGTGATTATATTATGATAGCTATATATGATATTGCTTTGCAATTTAGATAGTGATAAGAAATAAAACATACTTGATTTTAAAAATAATCAAATATAAAACCTTTTATTTTATTGGTTTTATTTTATAAAATCCATATAAGATTCAATTATCCAAATATAAAATTATCCAAATAAGATTCAATTTGCATAATTTTTGTATTATTTTCTGAATAAAAAGTACCGATACAATGGTTAGTAGTCCTATTATTAGGTGTCTATATATAAAGTCACCTAATTAAAACTAATCAATACGGGTAAATAAATTCATTAATATAATTTAATCGTTAATTGATATAATTATTACATTTACCTGTTGTTCTGTCAATTGCTCGCCGAGTTCGTTCATGATTTGACAAATCTCTTTAGGTTCAATTAAACCATCATTATTTACATCGAATACTTGAAACAATTTTCGCAAGCCATCGCAAATTTGTTCATTTAAATGAATTCTTGTCATGATGGCGCAAAACTTTTTGAAATCTGTAATTACATGCATAATAGAAATGAATTTCAAAATGTCAACATCTATTTATGATAATACAGTGGCGACACATTTCAAATTGAGGGTCTTGGTAAAATTATTTATACAAGATATTCTCCAAAGTTAGGGGTCAGTTTCAAGATATAATAATTATGTTATAAAAATGGCACAAAAGTCTTTCGCAATTATTAATTAATCATATAGGCATACATTAATCACGTGATCAATTTTTTAAAGATTGCTCCTTCTCTTTGGTGATACGTGGAGATATTCCAAATTACACCCCTCCCCCATCAAACATCACATGTATTTTTAGTTCCGAGAAAAACTTGTAAAATCTCTGATTTTTGTTTAAAAAGCTTTGATTTTTCTAAAAAAAAATCAGGCAAAAAATAAATGCACGTGGTATCTTACTACATCCCACCTCCCCGACGTAATATTTCATGATTTTTTGTCAAACCTCCCGTCCCCCCTTAGTGATACGTCGTGATATTTAAAATTACCCCCCCCCATCCCACCAAACATTATGTGTATTTTTTGTTACATATAATTTTCCGAACAAATTTTTCGAATTTACGAAAAAACATACAAATATTGTTTTTTTCTTAATCTAGGTAAAAACTAAATACTCGTTATATCTTACTAGTCCCCTTCCTCCTCCACGTAACTTTTCGAGAATTTTTGTCAACCTCCTATTCCCCTAAAAGTCTCACGTGATTAATGGAGACCTAGACCTATAATGGACCTATAGATTTCCTACCACATACCAGACCAATGTTATGGCAAAGCCATATTACGCTCCGACTTCCATACATTAGGCTACTGAATCATACTGAATACTATCAAAATGTTACGTATTTACTGTGCATTCAGGCGTTTTACATGTAAACTGCAACGTCACTAGTATGTTATGAAGCTGTGCCAGAAAGAAACTGTTATCTAAGATCGTTTTTTTGACATTTGTGTAGTTTCTAGGTTATGTTTTCTATATGACAACCTGAAAAAAAACGCCTGATTGCACAGCAGTATATAAAGTTTTATGTAACATAGTCATAACATTGGTGCGTTATTGGTGCGGCAGAATCGGTCCCTGAATCAGAGTACACAGGGTTCCACAATACTAGTATACCAAGGGTTAAGTAGATCAATCAATTATATTAAATTTATTACTTATTTGCTTCGATTTTCCAACAATTTTTTTAAGACTCTTATCAGAGAGATCACCATTTAAGGATGTTACTGCTTTTCGCATTTGATTTATTGATATTTTGCCAATCCTTTCGGTATCCAGCCTTCTGAAGATATGTTTGTATTTGTCACGCTGCTCTAGGGATAACGAAATATCACTTTTTATATTTATGGGTTCGGACGAATCTAGATTAAAATAAAAACAATTATAACATAATGATAAAAAATAACCCTTTCGCTACGAAAGTGTTTTCCGCAGAAGAGACACTGCTGTACAGGTCAACGTAGGACCAGAAGCAACAACATACCTTATTATTTCAGAATGCTTACGAATGAAAATGGATTTAAATATTAAAAAATACACTTCTAAAGGACAAAAATTAAATAACAAATCAGAAATGTTAATAATTTGTTAATTTCAGCATAATGTCTATAGACGACACCCGTACATACAGGTCGCCGTGCGGATGTCGCCTATAGGCGACGCTCGTAGCGCAAGGGTTAAACTTCACAACAAAAATCTAAGAGGTAGATAAAATTTATTTAAAACTTTTTGCAAACAATCTCAAGATATTGAAAATCATTATTCAATATTATTTAATTAAGATGAAATCGCAAGCAGTAACATAGATTGCAAGGACAACAAAGTATTGAATGCATAGAATTACATTTAATGTATTCCCATGAACAATATAGCAAACTGCTATGATAATATGGAAAATAATTTCTAATAAAATAAATGTCAAAAAATGCCAACCTGTCATAATATTTTTGCATAAGTTGAACGTATTCTTAATATTTTCAACAGCTATCATTTTCACCATTGGTGTTATTTTTATGTTTAATTTTTATTTGGATTTTTTTTACATTTTACATTTTTTTAATTTAAATTTTTATATACAAATGTCAAATTGTCATTTTTGATAGAAGTTTTTCAAACATTTTTTACAATTTTTTATATATTGTTTATTTGATAACGAAATGAGTAAAGCTAAAGACAAAGACAAGAAAAAGAAAAAGGAACCACCATTACCAGAGTTTGAAGATTTCACTCCGGAGCAAATATTATTTTTCAAGCAGGTTAAAGTACAACAATCTATATTAACCCTTTCGACTCGGATGCCGCCGCTCCGGCGACAAAATACATGCAAAGCTCGCAATTCGCGAGTGGAAAGGGTTAAAAATTATATTAAGCAGTGTGTAATATCTAATACATTAACATGATAATGAAATATTTATTTTCTTACATTTTGTGTTAGCAATAGTTCTCATCCTATATGCTTATCCAATCTATCAAAATTTTGCCTAACTAATTTCTAGAAATACCATTAATATTCTATTATTTTTACTAAAGACTTTAATTTCGAAATACCTTCTTCAAAAAAAGTAATAACTACCCGTACCAAAAATTAAAATTTTTAAAAAAGAATGGATTTTTTTAGAACTCTGAACTAGCCTTTTGAGATTTTTTGAATAAACTATTACCTTTTTGAAGAATTAGATTTTTTTATACTTCGAAATATTTTGCATTTTTTTTTCAAAGCAATCGCAATACGTTTTTTAGAAACGAAATAGCGATGCGCGTGGGCGCCGCGTCGCATTATTACGGGTAGACATTGGTACGGAACCTACAGAAAAGTGAAGAAAAACGCTTATTATAATTGAAATAACTATAAAATATGTTATAATTTGATGTGGATATGTCTAATGATCATTTTTGTCCGCCAAATTGCATTTTTTTCACTTTTTTTATTGGATCTCCGAAACCGCTAGACCTGCCTTCTCAAAACTTTCATCAATTTTTCATTTCGTCAAAACAAATAAAATGCAGCTCGATCTGCCTTTACCAAAAACTAATCAGCACGTCTCCTTACCAACACGAATCGAATGTTCATTTAATTATTTAAATCGGTTGACTCGTGCTCCCGAAATCGACGACGAAAATTTGTATCCGCACACACACATACATCCAATTTTTCTAAGGTAAGCCAAAATGTTCAGAAACCTTTGAAACGTAAAGTTGTTTAAACATTTTCAATTTAGATTTTTTGCGATTACTATAACTTACCCTTCGGGAAGTTAATGAATAGTTATTTAATTATTATAATTTTATTTAGAATACAAAAGTTTGTTTGCTTAATTAATTGCAACCTGGATCATGAACTCAGAATTTCTTTTATGATTTATTATAGAGTTAATTATAAAAGTATAATCTCTATTACAAAAATTTAATAACCTCGCAAAAATGGAGAAGTAAAAGCACAGATTGCCTCCTAATAATGTGTTATAAGGAATTACATCACAACAGTTAATAGAACACCAATTATAGTTCAAAACGTTGTTCAAAAAAGAAAAACAATCGTTAAATTAAAACAAATAATTTAGAATAAATATATATTTCAGGTATACTTATCTTTTGATAAGAAAGAAGAGGGTTTTGTACGCCCTAAACATTTGCCAGCCATGTTACGTGGACTAAACACAAATCCAACCGAAGAATTTCTTACGCAGAATATAAATCGCATCACGAAGGAACTAAAAGGTTCTTAGATTTTTTTTATGAACTAAAAGCCTCGTTTTGTCAAAAAATTATTTAAACATTCAGTCAAAGATATTATTTGTAAAAACCGTTTGACCGAAATAACTGATAAACGCCAATTTTATGTAATTTTGTCGAATGAATTCAAAATTTTCAAGTCGATGCAACCGTTTATGAGGCAACGTCGACAAAGGTCAACTTTTAGCCAACATATAGGTACATACTACTACCAAATTATATAAATATATCAAAATATATAAAATCAGTAAATTTGAGTTAAAAATAAACGGTTAAAATAAACGATTTAGAATGACCTGGCATCAAAATATATAAAATCAGTAAATTGGAGTTGCCTCATAAACTGGGCAGGCAACTGCCACCGTTGGCCAATTTTTGGTGTCAAACGATTCAGAATGACCTGACATCAAAATATATAAAATCAGTAAATTAAAATAAAATCATGCTATATATAATATTGTCTTGTGCTTAAATAGCTGTAAGTGTTATGAATACCATAATTTTCATAATAATAATAATATATATTACAGGAGAAATGAGTTTCGAAGAATTTCTTGGGATTCTGATACCTCTCATAAGATCAACAGGAACTGATGAACAAATTCGTGAAGCGTTTCGTACATTTGATCCAGATGGAAAAGGAACAATTGGCGTCGAAGAATTAAGACATATATTAACCACACTTGGAGAACCACTGACCCTTGATGAAATTAATGTTATGATTGTTTTCGCCGATCCTGACAAGGACGGTATAATACATTATGAGGATTTTGTTACTCAAATGTTTAAATAAATAATATGTTATTTATGATTAATGCAGATGATGTTTGGAAGAAAAAAATCAATGAATACATAAATCTTAACTATTATTAAACTTTCCTTTCAAAAGTTAAAATCTTTGTCGTTTATATAATTATTATTAACATTTAACAAAATAGAAATTTTTGCCGATATCGGTTTTTATGTAATTCAATGAAAACAATCTTCTTTAATACTCAACATTGAATCCACATTCCAAGTCCATTGAAGAAGAGCACTTCACTCCAATTGCTTCTACAAGTTTACTACAAGCTTCTACGAATTTTCCTCAAATCGGCATTGAATCCACATTCCAAGTCCATTGAAGAATAGCAATTCACTCCAATTGCTTCTACAAGCAACGGAAACGTGACATTTAATTTGAAAAATCTTTTAGACGGCCACAGACGTTACTGTATATAAGTGCAACTGAATGAATGCGCAACCGGGCGTATTTTCCACAGACGACTCAAGTGTATGTTTTGCGCAAGCATAGCGAATAATGAGGTTTTACTGTAATTGTATCATAATTTTTAGCACATGACAATAATAATATATAGCAACAATTAATACGACTACCACTGGAATAGAAACCAATGGTGTCACAGCAAATAAAATATATCCACGACGCTAAGGACCCGGTGTAAAATCCAGTCTCCTTATCAAAAAAAAACGCACTTGTATTTTGCCATCCAATAAACACTACCATGTTGTGTAAATACATAAATATTTGAAATATGTTGTGAAACTTACTCAAAACTGCAGTTTTATTAGTTCATGACGATCTCCTACTCATCATTCATAATTCACTATGTATACTATAAGATCGTTACTTTCGTCAGGATCGAGGTAAATATGATAACAACGACAGAAATTGAGCAGAGAGGAGTCGACAAAGATGTAGATCTACACCACGTTCTGATGTAGAAGAGTTATTGAGGCGAAGAATTACTCCAGATACTGTTGTAGAAGTGATGGTGACAAATGAAGCTGCTTGGAAAGCCATAGACAGATTTGCGAGAGATGTGGTAATTGACCTGCGCTCTATAGAAAAAGAAAGGGCATATGGGACTTTGCTCTTTTAAAATTTAAGTATAAAATCAAGGTATGAATGATAACATTCTAGATCCACCCCCACGAAGTAATGCCTAACGGCGGTTCCATGGAGGCCATAGACAAGAGCAAAAGACCAGTCTGGAATGCATAAATGCATTTCCTTCCCTATACAAAAAAAAAAATAATAATAATAATAAAAACATCACATTGTGAATCCTGAATTACAAGATACAGAAAATCTCACGTTCAAGTCAAAAACAGGTCTCAAATCACAGAAGCCAGAAAACTTCTGAAAAAAAAAGCCAGAAAACTTCTGAAAAAAAGCCAGAAAACTTCTAAAAAAAGAGCCAGAAAACTTCTGAAAAAAAAGCCAGAAAACTTCTGAAAAAAAGCCAGAAAACTTCTGAAAAAAGAAAGAAATGAAGAAAATGATTGTTTTTTGTGGTTTTGATACAACCAAAGGTAAAAATTGCAAGAAAACCATGTTGGAGATGTAAATGTTTTTTGGAGCGTAATAAAAATTAAATATGTTTCAATTATAAGATACAGAATTAAAATTTAATTATGCAATAAACCAATTCTTGTATAAATTATTTCACTTTAAACGAATTCTCTTAGTTTTACTTCTACAATTATCTGAAGCACTATCTTCAGTAACAGATTCAGCTTCTGTTTCACTTATGGTACTGTCCTCTATAATTGATACTGCTTCCTCTTCAACGGTGCTACTCAGAGCACTTTGCAATGTTTGTAAATGCAAGCGAAAATCTCGAGTGGTCCCAATATTTAAGGCAGCAGTTAAAATGGCCTAAAATATAATGTAATTATATTACCAATTATAATTCTGATTATAATGTTAAAAACCAACCGTGGTTGAACTATTTGTTTTCGATGACAATCCAATAACACTTTTTTTAAATTTCTCAATTGCATAGACTAAATTTGGAATCATTCTAGTTTGTCGAAGAACTTTTGTTTTCTGTTTGTTGTCCTGCATTTCCTCAACATGTGAAATTAATCTATAAACAGCGCCACATAATTTTTTCCCTGCAAGCTTTACTGCTTTGTCAAACCTTTAACAGTTGAAACATTTAGACACACATATAATAAACAATTCATATTGCATATAATAAATAAATAATGGGTAGTACAGCCCTAAGGCAGGTCCGTGTGAGATGAGGTAAACTCCATTCAGGGAAGAAGTAGTGAGAGATTTTTGAAGTAAAACTTCTTTAGGCGCTACTAAGGTGTAAATCCGTACAAATGAAACGGAAATAGCGTTACGCCCGAACTGTACGTCATTCGCTCTCGATGAAATCATTTCAATACGGGTCGATTGTGATTAGTTGTCGTGTATGTGAATAGAGATCTGTGGTTTGAGTACCGGCATCAACGTTATATGCGTACCGATATCAACAAGGAAATCGGCATAGATAAATAATGATTTAATGAAAATCTCTTTTTTATTTTCCCATTGCATATATAATAAATAATTTACCTTGTTCTTACAACTACTGCTGCTGATTCAGTAACTCTCCTAGAAAAATATTTGGTCACATTGAACAAGGTTTCATATAAGCTTTGCAAGGTCTTGAATAAAGTGTCTGTGCATATGCCAGTCGGTATTTGTGAATTACTCAATGAATTCAAGATCATTATTATGTCACAAATATGGGTACAAGTTGAATATTCCTTTTCCTGAAAATAATCATAGCCTGCAAAGACATTTTTAAATACTATTAATATTACTGCTTGTAAAGTAAACAACTATTAAATAATAATCACCAAAATTTGAATTTAAATTTAAATTTTTCATATTCATGGTTACTGTATAATATCCATTTAAATATTGAATAACATAATCTATCCGGTTAAGTTCTTCTCTACATTTATCACAGATCACTTGAACGGTTGCATCCATTGTTTCCTCATTTATGATGCATAAAGAACTAACAGGCTGCACTTGTTCCTGAAATAATATATTGAATATAGTAATTGATAGTAAAGCATAAAAGTAATTGAAATACCTCATTAATAGTCCCCATTATTGAACACACTTTAGCAGCTGCGTTTAAACATGTATCCGATGTAATCCTAATTTGAGCATCAAAAGTTATGTATAAGCTCAGCAATGCTTTTGAAATTGTATTTGAAGTTTTTATTTCTAATAAGGATAGTATCCATTCAGAGGTCTAGAATTTAAAAAAAAATTGACAATTATATTATAACTTACGAATAAATCATTATTAAAATCTTCTATTAGAAAAGCAAAATTGCAATTAACATCTCTATAATAAAGAGGTTCAGATATTATTTTTTGTAAAGCACTTATAAATAGTTAACACAATTCAAATACCTCAAAAGCTAATGTTTCTGCAGAAAGTGATAAATGTTTAATAAATGTTTGCACACATTGTATCAAGCTAAGCACAATTTGATTATTGAAATCAAGAAGAATTTCATTTTTCAAACACTCGTTCAAATAAATTTTGAATTGTGATAGTATGTAAACAAGTGATTCCTGTAGATTATCTCGGCTGTGATCATCACCTGTAACAATAAAGTGTTGTAGAAACAAAAATTATTGACCCGATAAAAGAATTGTACATTATCTTTTACTCACCAAGTGCTGATAAAAAGTGGGACATTTTCTTTGAATAATGTATATCAATTAACTGAAGAATATTGGTGAATACCTCTACTGATGAAACGGTTGTAGCTAAATCAAAATCTGCTAAAACATTTAATTGTGATAAACAATTTTCAAAAAGTATCCTTCCACAGCGAGTGAACAATGTGAAAGACGTTTTTTTCGATTCTTTATCATCTACTTCCTGAATAAATCACCAATAATTAATAATATAAACATAATTGATGAACTGAATATTAAAAAATATTTTACCAATGAGGTACCAATAGTTTCAAAAGTCTGAAGCATTGCTTTTAAGACGTACTGGTGAAATTCGGTACTTGTTTTCAAAATCTTTGAAGAAACGTCACAGGTTTTGCTATAAAAAGATGCCAAAAATTATATATATATATATATATATATATATGTATATATATATATATATATATATATATATATAAAATTTAGATTTTTTTGTTCGATGTTGAGACATATTCTTGCAATATATCTACAAGAGAATGAACTAACACATTTGCAATTCTAAAACTCCAAATCAGTTCAAGACAATGTTTTCTGAACATGTTATTAGTTTAAATCATACTTTCAATACAAAAATCCTATTATTTTACATAAGGAAAAGAATGGTGACCTCAGAAAATTTGCTAAATCTGTATTTATCTTTTTAAACCCCATTTGCGTTAAAAACGAAATTCTGCTCTGTTAGTACATGACTCTTATCATAATATTATCAATATTGTTTAAAAATAATTTACGATCTACTACAAAAAGAACTTTACGATATACTACATAAATCTTTAGTTTAAATTCAAAAAGACAATTGTTATTTTATTATTGTTTATTTTCTTTATTTTTTATATAGGTTTTATATTTTTTACTTGTAATTTTTTAATATGTAATATGTATTAAATTGAACCTTTTTTTAAACTTTGTAAAAATTCTTTTAGATATTGTAAAACATAAAAAAGTTGCTGAATGATGACACACAACAGTGTCTAAAAGTATGAAAAATAATTTATTATTTATTGTTTTTTTTTTACTATATAAAATTACTATTATAAATATATATATAACCGTAAATATATATATAATGTTTCCGATAAAAATAAATAATATTTAATATAATACCTATACAATATTTGCAGCAGATTTGTTAAAATTGGAAGCGTAAGCAAAGATTTAGGAAGTTTCATTTTAGCCACAGGTTTTTGCAGCATAGAATCCGTAGTAGTAGCATTTGTTTTTTTCTTCACTTTTTTCGCACCTTTGGTTCGACTTTTCTGTAATTATAAAAATGTGATTATTCACTGATTCATACATTATCTTTATAACAAGTTTTTAATAACTGGGTTTACCTCAATGCAAGAAATATATGTTTTATAGGTCTTAAATAATTTTAATATGTCTTCCTCAGTATTCTTAGATGATTCATGTGTCCAAAATGATATTTTAAAAATAACTAAACTCTCTTGAAAGAGAATTAATTCATTCAGCATGGTCATATTTTTCACAATATCTGTATTGGTAGAACTATTATCAATATCTTGATCCTACCATTCAATAATAAAAAAGAAATAAAAATAATATGTTATTGATTGATATATAATGATGTTATTTATACAAACCAAACCATAAGCGGCCAAATTATTGTCTCTCATTTTTGTACAAAGATCACTTATATATTCCTTAGCTTCTTTCAAAACTCTGTTATTACTTAAATAGTTTTCTATACTGAGTGCCGTTACTAACACATAAGTTATACATGTGATTAAATTTCCTAATGAATCCTAAATAAATATCAATTTATTTAATCATAATATAGTATTTAAATTTCAACATGAGATAACAATTTACCGATACAAACACAATATCATCACTTGAATTTATTAACCGATCAAAATTTATTTGATTGTTATCATTAATTAGTAAACAGCTCCGCAAATTTCCAAATAGTACCTCCAGAATATTACAACATATTGGTGTATTTATTCGAGCTGCTTCTATTAATGCTAAAATAAATTATTATAAATTGATCATCATAAATGGTGATTGATAAAACTTAATTAATATAGATAATCATCAATTACCACTATACATATCAAGTTTGTTTGAGTTTTGTTTTTTAATGCTATATCTTATTATTCCAAGAAGTTCTAAACAAATAGCTTCGTATGATGAATTATTGCATTTAAAAACTTCATTTTGATCCTGTAGCAAATATAATAATTAGAAAAAAATTAACAAAAAATGGGTGTTATAAATTTATAACTAAAATTAACTTGTGTGCACATCTGAGAAAAAATAGATGATGATCGAGTTAATAGTGTTTGCTGGTCAAGATTAGCACAATTTGGCAAATCGATTTTCAAATTCTGAATTAACAAACAAAGTCCATAAACACCCATCTCCCTGACAAATGTATTATCACTGAAAATAATATTGAATACAAATATCTTTCCACTACAAGCATTATATGTACATATATGGTTTTTACCTCATGAATATATTTTTGCGTATCAACATTATGATAGAATCACGCATAGGTGCCGAATATTTAATCAATGGCATTATTGATTTATATATATACTTTTGATACTTCTCCGATACCTGAAACAAATATATATTAAGAGAATCTAAGCAGCAAAATAAATTAAGGAGTATTATTAGCTCGATAAATTAATTTCCCGCAGGATAAGTTATAATAATCGCAAATAACTCAAAAACTAACACTTTAGCATCTTTTTTGTGTGTTTATGCATGTATCTTCGAATACAAATCAACCGATTTGATTGATTTAAAAAAAACATTCGATTCCTATTGATGGGAAAACATGGTAACTAAATTTTTGCAAAGGCTGTTTTACATTTAGCTCCGTATCTTCGGAATGGGTGGACCTGCCTTTACCAAAAACTAATCACTACTTCTCCCTATCATTACAAATTTAATGTTTTTTGGATCATTCAAATTGAATGCTCCATTGTCTCAAAAATTCGATTTCTATTTTCTGCACTCTTTGCTTCGTATCTCCGTAGCCGCTGGACCTGCCTTTGCCAAAAACTAATCAGCACATCTCCCTAGCAATAGGAATCGAATGTCTTTTATACGATTCAAATCAGTTGATCCGTGCGCCCGAAAACGTGGACGAAAAATTGCGGTCTCACAAAACACACGCACACATTCATTTTTTCTGAGGTATACCAAAATGTTCAAAAACCTCTGAAATGTGAAGATATGCAAAAAATTTCATTTTCGATTTTCGGCCCATTACTATAACTTACTCTACGTAAAGCTAATAATATTTAGGAGATCTTACCTTCAATGCTCCATTTAACAAAATTTCTTGATTTTCAATAAGTGACAATGGTATATACTTAACCATATCATTGAAGCAATCTGAAATGTTAATGAATTAATAATCATATTTTTATACTTTATATTATGTTGTTTACTTCAAAAATTAAATTACATACTTGAATACTTCAATTCCAATTGTGAATCATCAATGTTATTCATCAGTTGGCTAATTATCGAAGAAGCCAAGCTTTTTTGCGTGCGACATAATTTGATCAAGATAATAATACCAATATTATTTAATTGTTTCGAATATTCTCCAGAAAAATGCAGAAAGTTAATAGCAAGTCCTACAAGGCTTTGTGTTGTAACAGCATTTCTCTTAACACTAATAAGCAAATTGTAAATATTATCCACAGCTATAAATAAAATAAGTAGATCCATTTCAAGATACCTAATATGAACCAGCTTCAAAAACAAACTATTTAAATCCTCAGATTCTGTAATTGTTCCTTTGACCCAAGCAGATTTACTGACAAGAGCCGATGCCATAATGTTTCTTAAGCAAGCTACTCGAATCACTTCGTACACTGCATTCTTCAGATCATCAGCGGATGCCAGTATGAGTAACATCAATGATGGAAAGGTAGATAATACAAAATTGGGCCATTTATTTATTGTTCGTAAAGTTTGAATAAAACGTGTAATCCAGTTGCATTGCGGTGAACTAGTCGCTATAGATTGGATGTGCAACAATATCAATTGCTCGGAATGAATTAATTCATCAACATCGGTCCCTATTAATATGTTGATACTTGAGACATATATTTATATAATTATATATAACTAGCAAGAATATTAAAGGAATTAAATATATGCATTACTTGTAAAAATACTTTTACCAACCATTGTATGTTTCAAAATGTGTAATACAAAATAATTTTGTAAGCAAAAATCTACATGTAGGTCAATAATACAATGAAGGACCATAGCAATATTAACATAATTGAGAAAGTGAAACTGTGTCCTTTATGTAACTCACCCATATCGGGAATATCCTGTAATTCTCGTTGGATATAAAGTGAATCTTTATATAACCACATGGAATAATAATGGCATAAAGACAATATAGGGTATATATCACCATGTGTTTCGCACAATTTCAGTAATTCATCAAATAGAGCAGGTAATATTGAAGACTTGACTTTGATCATATTTTCGCATAGTTTACAACTGACTTGATGATACTCATCCTTTGTTAACTTCATTTGCCTAAAATAAACAATAAAAAATATAGTATTATAACAACTTACTATATTATTAACAGAAGTCATTTCAGAGTCTTTTAAGCAACTACATATTTGATTTATTATAAATAAACAATAATTTAATTTTATCTAAAATAAACTATAAACTAAAAAATAAATGTAGCACTCTTACCCAAACATTGACGCTAAAGAAATTATCATATCAGAATTCCATCTAACAAGACATATGGCATTTATAATTTCAGTTTTGAATCCAGCACCAGTGTGACTCTTTCCATTAAAATTCACTGTATTTTGCATAATCAGCATCGAAATTAACATTGGTAGAATCTTACTCCATATCCAAGAGCTTTTCGAGTCAGCGGTGTGTATCATACCAACACATATATTAGTCAATTCTACTTGATATTCAGCTGGCAATCTAAAAATATACAATAAATATATTATAAAATCAACTAACAAGAAAACTTAAATAAAATCTTACCACCTTTTAATTTTATTACAAACTATGTTGATGATTTGATGTTGTGCCTCTGTGACAAGTATATTTGAACCCATTTCGTTCAATATATATTTAATGATCTAAAAGAAATTAGATATAAAACATTACCAACTGAGTCTTTAACTACGAATAATTAAATATTTGCCTGTTGTTGAAGATGATTGGTGGAATCATTATCAGCAAAGCCTTCGAGCAAGTATTTAATCAATTGCGTTGAATCTTTACACGACCATACCGAAGAAATAAATTTAGTTACCTAAAATATAACAGTATTTTTGATTAAAAGCTAACATTATTGTTTCTCATGTAATATACTCAAAATGAGATTTTACAGATTCAAATTTTAACGTGGAGATAAAGCTTCGTAGTTCTTCTAAATCTTTCGTTTGCTCGTATCGTATTAATTTGCTTTTTATTGCACTCATTTTAAAATATCTATTTTTGCAAAATAGTTTTCTTGTGTTTAGAAGTTTTTAGACTGACAAATTTAAATTTGACAGTTCTCTTAACAGACATTGGAATAATGTCATAATGGCGTCATTAATAACACTGCCATGAACACAGATACATAGAACCATCATAGAACGTAGTCTCAGAACAAAACCCGCGTTTATTATGCACAGTTTAGTAGTCGGCCACCAGTTGCACATTTAGCGCTAGTGAGCCGATGTCAAAAGCAATACGAGCAATACCACAGATAAAAAAAGAATATGAAATCAAATTTTTAAAACTGCTAAAGGTTTTTTGAAAACTTTGAAAAAATTAGATTTTTGAGAATTACAGAAAGTTAGTACTTTAGGAATTTTTATATTTTCAAAACGGCTAAACTTGCCTTTGCCAAAAACTAATAAACACGCCTTTCCATCAATTCGAATCGAATGTTTTTTTGAATTATTCAAATCGGTTGATTCGTGTTCCCGAAATCTTCAACAAAAATTTGTATTTGCAGACACACATATCTATTATATCCAAATCTTTAGAAATCTTTAAAACGTAAAAATATGTAAAAAAAAATTATTGTTTTGGTTTTTTACAGTACCTACCATATGGGGAGTTAATTAATACTTATCTGATATTCAATATAATGAAAAGATAAGTTTGAGAAGTTTGAAAAGCCTTTAAAATACACAGGATGAAATCTGAAAATTTAAATCGACCATGATGTGCAGGGCAGGAAAACCTGGCATGCGGTAGTTTTCCTACTTCAATGTTAAAAATTACAGTGCAAGTATTTTTAGCTTTACAGGAACACCGTTATTCAGAAGGTTCAGTAGCTCTTAGCCTATAACTAACTGAAAATATTTGATCTTTTCGAGATGTACGTATTACCAACGTGTTGCTCATAGATGAATAAACATAAACATAAATATGAAAATTTACAGGCATGAAAAGTTAATATAAAACACAAAATATGTATACATAAAATATATAACTAAAGCCAGTCAATAAACATTTACCCTGTTGAACCACTTCTTCTCTGAGGTAGAAAGGAAACTCTCTTTGTACATCATTATAATATTCACGGTCATATATTTCATATTATTCGTTCTGATTCGTTTTCTTTCGTCCTTAGTTGTCTTTGCAAACTATCGACACATTGTTTCAAATTAACTTTATCAATAAAACTTTCTTTTATGAAAATAATTATTTAAAATTTACCTATTTGATCCATGTAATTACATCTTAAGATGCTGTTGAAGTCTTTGGCATTGTCTTCATCTTTTTTATGAAAGATTCAGTTAAACATTCCTAAAAACCACGTAGAAAGTAGGAAGAGTTCCTGAGATTCTAAACTCAAGAGATAATCAGAAGTCAGGATTGTCTATTGCAGATAGGAAATCTAGGTAGGCACGATGCTCTGGATTCTTGGAATCTTCTATATTGAAAAAAAAATAGTTTTAATTTTTGTAATTGTAGTATTACTAGCAGTGTTAATCAAATAATTAACTACATCGTTGAATAAAATATACATAGTGTCTATGATTGTTAATAAAAAAATAAAAACTACCCAAGATCTTACCTTGTATGATCTATGCTTATAAGTTTACCTTATATGATGCATGTAAGCTGCAGTTCGAGTCTTTGGCATCTTTTCATCTAATGCAAATTCTAATAATCATCTTCATCTACGGATAAACGTAGGGGTAAGTCTAATTTTCCCCAGTAGTTTCTCCTTCCAAAGAATAATCGTTCTATCATTAATAGGTTTCATGAAAATATATAAAATTATTTTTTATTCTCTTAATGGCGAGGGCTAACGATGCAAAATAACTTAAAACGTCGCGAAAACAACGTTGGCAAACTGTCTCTTCTATTGAAACAAACTCTTCCTTCGGGAAGTTAATAAATATATTTATTATAATAATAAATATATTTTATAATTGAGATATAGTTATAACTATATCTCAATTATAAAAATAACACATGAGAAGACACAAATCGATAATGAACTACTATATAATTCCTCAAAATTGGGTACTCATGTTATAACATCAATGAAATGTACAATATTGTTTTAATGACTAATTTTATTTCTATATTATATTCCCACTCGTTTCTGCTGATAAATTCCAGTACTCACACACAGTTTGTACAAAATATTTCATCAATATGACTTATATTTTATATTCATTCTATTGGAATGAATTTGAAATAAAGTCATATATTCGGATAATTTTATTTTTTGTTTTATTTAATCAGTCAAATGATTTTTTACAAAAATTTATTTTTATATTTTACTCATTATTTTTTAGCTGAATCTTTTCTATAAAATATAGTAAAATAGAAACGCTGAATAATTATGCCAGAGGCAAATGATCCTCTTAAAAGCAAGAGACTTTTGCAGTACATTGCAGCACTTTCAGGTTCTATATATTAATAATAATTACATTTCTAATTAGGATTCATATATTCATATCAATTACTAATCATATGAGTTGAATCAGATTAATTTCCTGAATGTATATGAATAAAATGAATTCACCAACGATCAACTAATAATAAATATTTTACCTTGTTCAATTCTAGCTAATATTGGCGCTTTTGCTGCGGGAACTGTTTTAGCCTGGACGTCACCTGCAGCACCAGAAAGACTAAAATCGGAATACAAAATAGAAGTCAGCACAAATGAATATTCTCTAATCGGATCTATTGCAACAGTGGGCCTAGCTGCATCATGTCTTCCCACTGGAATTCTCATCGATATCATTGGGCGCAAATTAGGAATGCTAATAATGGTAATACCATTCATCCTTGGTTGGGCTCTAATCACTTGGGCAGCAAACGTTGGTATGATGGTTGCTGGTCGATTTATAATTGGATTCTCAGGTGGTACATTTTGCGTAGCCGCTCCGATTTATACGGCAGAAATTTGCGAGAGTGAAATACGAGGTGCTTTAGGAAGTTACTTTTCATTAATGCTTGCAGGCGGTATACTTTATGTATACATTATAGGATCTTTTATAAATTTATATATTTTAACAATCATGTGTTTGCTCGTGCCTATAATCTTTGCCGTGACATTCTTTTTTATGCCGGAATCGCCCATGTTTATGATATCCAAAGGAAAAACAGAACAAGCTGCTAAGTCTTTGCAAAAATTGAGAGGCAAACATTATAATATTGAAGGAGAAATGAGAGCGATGCAACAGAACCGAGCTTTAGAACAAGAAAATAAACTTCCATGCAGGAAAGCGTTTTCCACTAAGGCTGCCATAAAAGCTATTACTATTTCTATGTTTCTCATGCTGTTCATGCAATTTTGTGGAATAAATGCAGCAGTTTTCTACAGTTCATCAATATTTGAAGAAGGCGGTCTCATAAGTGCCGATACAGCAGGCATAATAATAGCAGTTGTGCAGGTTATCTTCGTCTTGGTATCAATAGTAATAGTAGATAAATTAGGCAGAAGAATACTGCTAATAATTTCTGCTGTTTCAATGGCTTTGAGTTGCTTAGGCATGGGAACTTATACCATATTTTCTAAAAATCCAGATAATCATGATATGATATTAAAACTTTCTTGGGTACCCTTAGTAACTCTATGCGTTTATATGGCTGCATTTTCTACAGGATTTGGTCCTATACCTTGGATGATGATTGGAGAGCTATTTCCATCAGCAATAAAAGGAATTGCAGGTGCCATATCGACAACATTTTGCTGGATAGTAGCATTTTTTGTCACACAATCGTTCGGAATGATATCTGATCAATTAGGAAAAGACTGGCCTTTCTGGATCTATGGTGCTGCTTGTATAATAGCCGCGATATTCGTGTATTTTTGTGTGCCTGAAACGAAGGCTAAGACTTTAAGTCAGATTCAGCTAATGCTCGGCAGAAGCAATAACTAAAATGTTTTAATTCTGCAACGCCCATTTATAAAATTTTAATTCTGATTTTATTTATTTAATATATCATTTACAAAGTCTCTATTTCTTAATTATATTTATATAAAAATTAATATTAAACATTTTAAAATAATATACTTATATAGAGTATTAAATGGAAAATCATAAGCATTTAAATACATCAATCAAGCTACCCAAAGAATGTCATTTGTTTACATAATCTACAATATTCATTTTAAAATTAAAATGTAATTAATTTACAATACAATAAATGTTTTTATTTGTACAATTATAGCATAACAATTTTATTACCTAACTTACAATTACAAATATCTATCCTTAATGATATTTTGATTGCTCGCAAATTTCTCGATTCCATTATGAGATGAAAACTAATGATTAATATCAAAAAATGATATGATAATCGACACACAAAAAGTGTATTAGAAAAGCGAAGTATGGCAATCGATATAGACAAAATATATTGGAAAAAATATGTTTAAAAAATTATATTATAGATAGCTGCCTAACATAATACCATTCATTTACACCATTAAATTTCATCACTGTTTCAGTAAAGTTTCTATCAATTCACGCTCTTCCGCCTATCATAGGCACACTTGTTAATGTTCATAAATGATCCGGTTTCATTTTCATACCAATAAAATTATTTAGAAAAAATATCTGGAATTGTTTTAATACTAAAATTTCACTAAAAATTATTATTAGACTAAGCACTGTTCAAAGTATGGCAGTAATGTAAATAATAAAATTCACGCTTCGTCTGCTAATAAAAAATACTCAGTCTTACCATACAAACACATTTTGCTCAGCGTGATGCACATCACCATGTTTACAGCATTTACAATGAATCAGATCATAACAATCTCTTATTTTAAAGTTGTATATACACTTAAAATGTCACAAGATACTTATTAAATACAGGGCAGGTCATTCTTTACATTAAGTATTTTCAAATGATGGATTTCAAACCAGGTGCGTGATGTACTCCTGTGAATTGAGGCCGGATTCGTTGTGAGTCGCGCCTCATACCAACACTTGTCAGTTGGTGTAATGGTCAAAGGACGCTAAGTACTCGAGGGCTGCGTGATAGCAGAACTGATACTGGTCCTAAAACACGAAATTTTGTTTTGCACTTTCAGGAAATCTAATTAACTACATCTATTTATTTGTTTATTGATTCATAAGCAAGTCGATTCAATAAGCATTATTTCAAGCCTTTATCCTCAAACCGATTTGGATGTATGGTATCCAAATATGGGGATCTGTCAAAAATTAGCAATTTACAAATATTACAACGTTTTAAAATAAAATAGTTCGGCAGGCAATCTGCAATCTGCACCAAGATATGCCCGAAGATATTCATCAGCACACCAATACTTTCATCACAATCAGAGAAGAAATTTAAAGAACTGCCCTTAGCTACAAGGACAAAGTCGACCAACATGAAAATGAAATTATAGCATATCTGTATGATACCACGTACAAACTAAGACAGAAGAGAATCAATTTAATTGAATTAACACAATAGTCGATAACACAATGTATTAAGTACTTAGCTTATATTTCAACATACTAAGTATGCTATAATTTTATATAGTTTATTCATTTTTGTATAATAATATAATATTTAAATTAGAATGTAGTATAGAAGTACAACGCAAACCATTGGGTTTTCCTTCTAGAAAATGCCACTGTTAATTACCAAACCAATTATTTAATGTCTATTCATAGAGAGATTGTGATTTTTATGTAAATAAAATAAATTTCCAGGTCAGCTTAGTCTTTGCTTAGTCAGAAATTAGAATAATATTGGGGACCATATTTTTTAGGTCAAAACCGGGATGGCAATTTTTTTTATGCTAATCCGGGACTTCATGCCAAATAACTTAAATATGACTATCCAAATGATATAATAAAATATAATTTAATTTTTGGATATATGTTTTCTTCGCTTTTGAACATTGTTTAAAATTCTGTTCAATCTTTTTCATAATTAATTTGCAAAAATTAGCACGTGTGTCAGGAAGCCAAATGTAATGTGAAAGGCTATAGCTAATATATAAAATATATTTTATCCCGTCGTTGGAATTTTGTATTCGACTATTTTATCATTCATTGATTCATATATGCATACTCGTTGTTTTGTAACATAATTTAGATATTTAATGGACAGTTGTCATTTCTTCATCAAGTACTTTTCGAAAACCCGGGACAATCCGGGACAAAAGATCTAAATCCAGAACAAATATTACAACAATCCCGGGGCACAAGGTGTAAATGCAGAACTGACCCGGCTAAACCGGGCCTTATGTTTACTTTAATAATAAGTATATAAAACTTAAAATATTTATTTCGCTTCTGAAATTAACATACAAAGAATTATCATTTTCCACGAGAATCGGCAATAGGTGACAACCACATAACTACTTGCATGTACCAAATAAAGAGTGTCGTCAATAGACTCAGGTAAGAATAGTGTGAGAGATTTGCACCGCAGTGCCCGAAATGGGTTTATTTTCAATTGCAAACATATTTTTGATGTATATTTTCAAGTGAAAATGAACATCGCTGCTGCCCGATGTAGATTTCCAGAGCAGCGGCTTAGACTCGCGACCACGTCCATAACATATATATATATATATATATATATATATATATATATATACATAGCTGGGCACCGTTAATCAAATAGTTAACTTCGTTAATCGTTAATCCGCTACAAAAAAAGTTAACTTCGTTAAACGTTAAAGCGTTACATTTCGGAAGAATTAACGCAAGTTAACGTTAATCGTTAATCCGTTAATATGTGTAAAATTACATTTTTATATCGTTGCGTTAGTGAACTTAAAAAACTTATTAACTTCCCGTAGGACAAGTTATAGTAATCGCAAAAAATCGAAAATGAAAATTTTTGCATTTCTCGACGTTTCAAAGGTTTCTGAATATTTTGGCATACCTTAGAAGAAATGAATGTATGTGTGTGTGTATGGATACAAATTTTCGTCGACGATTTCGGGAACACGGATCAACCGATTTGAATAATTCAAAAAACATTCGATTCGTATTGACAAGAAGACGTGCTGATTAGTTTTTGGCAAGGGCAGGTCTAGCCGTTCCGAAGATATGGCGCAAAATTGACCCAAAAACGGTAACTCAGTTTTTAAGAGAACGGAGCGACGTTTGAAACGTCGAGAAATGCAAAAATTTTCATTTTCGATTTTTTTGCGATTACTATAACTTACCCTACGGCTACACTGATCAATTTTTCATGAAGGCAGGTCTAGCGGTTTCGGAGATCTAATGAAAAAAGTAAAAAAAAATGCCATTTGGCGGTCAAAATGATCATTAGACATATGCACATCAAATTGTCAGATATTTTATAGAGATTTTAACAATAAGTTGTTTGCATTCCTTTAGGTTCCGTACCAATGTTTATTTGTTAGACGGCGACGCGGCGCTTACGCGCTTTATATTTTGTCTCTATGCAGTTCTAAAGCAATAAAATTGCTTTGAAAAAAAGTTCAGATCTTCCAAAATATGTCAAAATAAAGAAAACATTTTTTTTTTCAAAAAAAAAATAATTTTTGTCCAATAGTTTATAGTTTCTCAAAAATCTTATTTTTCGAAGTAAATTTTTTTCAAAAATGTTAATCGTTTTAAAAAAAAATAATAATTTAAGGTACGGAAAGTACCAGCAATTTGCCTTAAGGCACAACGCCTTAATTGCCTTAAGACAGAATTCCACTTACAGCTAGTTCTTTAAAGAGTTTGTAGCTCTTTGGTTTTTCGTCATCATCGTTGTTACTCGCATTGCTCCCTCCGCCACTTAAACTATCTCTGTCCTTCGAATTTTTCGCTACTTCTTGTCATAAGGCATCTTCTACCTTTTTTTCCGTGCATTTTCTTACTGCATTCCTCTCTACTGCTGTCATACGTTTCCAGCCACATTAACCGAAACTTTGGGTGAAATGCCGCGGCAAGTTGGCACTGTTCATCATTCAGGAGTAGTCCAAATCTTTTCTTTATGCCGTTTAATAAGGCATTGGCTAAAGCTGTGCCGTGCGGTAAATAGTAGGCATTGGATTAACGATTAACGGACTTCTTGCATTTTAACGGAAGTTAACGTGTCCGTTATCATTTTTAAAAGTTAACTTGAAAGTTAATCCGTTAATCAAAATGTTAACTTCGTTAATTAACGATTAACGGATTAACGAGTTAATGCCCAGCTATGTATATATATATATATATATATATATATATATATACATAGCTGGGCATCGTTAATCAAATAGTTAACTTCGTTAATCGTTAATCCGCTACAAAAAAAGTTAACTTCGTTAAACGTTAAAGCGTTACATTTCGGAAGAATTAACGCAAGTTAACGTTAATCGTTAATCCGTTAATATGTGTAAAATTACATTTTTATATCGTTGCGTTAGTGAACTTAAAAAACTCATTAACTTCCCGTAGGGCAAGTTATAGTAATCGCAAAAAAATCGAAAATGAAAATTTTTATATATCTTTACGTTTCAAAGGTTCCTGAACATTTTGGCATACCTTAGAAAAAATGGATGTATGTGTGTGTGTGTGTGTGTGTGTGTTGGTATGTGCGGATACAAATTTTCGTCGACGATTTCGGGAACACGGATCAACCGATTTGAATAATTCAAAAAACATTCGATTTGTATTGATAAGGAGACGTGCTGATTAGTTTTTGGCGAAGGCAGGTCTAGCCGTTCCGAAGATACGGGACAAAAAGTGCCGAAAACGGTAACTCAGTTTTTAAGAGAACGGAGCGTCCGATTTGAATAATTCAAAAAGCATTTCACTTGTATTGATAAGATGAGGAATCGATAAATTTTCATAAAGGTAGGTCTAGCGGTTTCGGAGATATGGAGAAAAAAGTAAAAAAATGAGCCATTTGGCGGTAAAAATGATCATTAGACATATGCACATCAAATTATCAGTTACTTTATAGAGATTTTAACAGTAAGTATACATTTTGTTAACATCCTATGGGTTCCGTACCAATGCTTATGCGTTAGACAGCGACGCGGCGCTTACGCGCTTTATATTTTGTCCCTATACAGTTAAAGCAGTACGATTGCTTTGAAAAAAAGTTCAGAACTTCCACAATATGTCAAAATAAAGAAAAAAAATCTTTTTTTAAAAAAAAAAAAAATAAAAAAAAAATTTTTTTTTTTTAATTTTTTTTTTTCAAAACAAAAGTTATTTTTTGTCCAATTTATAGTTTCTCAAAAATCTTATTTTTCCAAAGTAATTTTTTTTCAAAAATGTTAATCGTTTTTAAAAAAATAATAATTTTAGGTACGGCAAGTACCAGCAATTTGCCTTAAGGCACAACGCCTTAATTGCCTTAAGACAGAATTCCACTTACAGCTAGTTCTTTAAAGAGTTCGTAGCTCTTTGGTTTTTCTATAGACTGAGTGACAGAATTAAAAAAGTCTTCCTCCTCGTCATCATCGTTGTTACTCGCATTGCTCCCTCCGCCACTTAAACTATCTCTGTCCTTCGAATTTTTCGCTACTTCTTGTCATAAGGCATCTTCTACCTTTTTTTCCGTGCATTTTCTTACTGCATTCCTCTCTACTGCTGTCATACGTTTCCAGCCACATTAACCGAAACTTTGGATGAAATGCCGCGGCAAGTTGGCACTGTTCATCATTCAGGAGTAGTCCAAATCTTTTCTCTATGCCGTTTAATAAGGCATTGGCTAAAGCTGTGCCGTGCGGTAAATAGTAGGCATTGGATTAACGATTAACGGACTTCTCGCATTTTAACGGAAGTTAACGTGTCCGTTAACATTTTTAAAAGTTAACTTAAAAGTTAATCCGTTAATCAAAATGTTAACTTCGTTAATTAACGATTAACGGATTAACGAGTTAATGCCCAGCTATGTATATATATATATATATATATATATATATATATATATATATGTATATATATACAGATATAAAAATAAACCATAATAAAGTAATAGCAATCTCTAAAACTAAAATTTAAATTTTGCACATTTCTAGTATGAATTTCTAGTGAAGAAAAATATTTAATTTATGTTTGAAATTTGAAAACATTTTTAACCAACAGTTTTCTGGCATTTTTTCGGAAATTGTTGGTCGGTTACCCCATTTGGCAAAAATAAAATGATATGTAAATTGCTAAGCGTGTGTATACATTTTTCTGAGAATTTGCTATTTTACCGAAAATTGTAAGACTTTTACCAGCGACGCTTTAATACCGTATAAAGTTTTGTATGTTAAACAACCACTTATATTTTCAGAAAAATCTAACACTTTATGGGTTATATAACATCTCAAAATCAATAATATCCCCAATAAATTTTTGCCACTTACCTCAGTTTGTACCATGGCAGGTCGTTGAGCTCGTAGAACTCGCACCGTTTGGAAAACATCTAAAACACCTTCATATTGCATTCGCTCTAATACAATACTCAATGTAATGAAAACGCCAGTTCGACCGACACCAGCACTGAAATTTACATAAAACGTAAAATAAACCCTAAAAGTCATCATTAAAATAATAAAACTTATTATAGTTCGTATATATACCTGCAATGTACTGTGATGGGTCCGTCTTGTCCAAATTGTTCCTTAGTTTTATGAACTTGTCCAATAAAATCGATAAAACCTTCTCCGCTTTTAGGTACGCCCTGTTCAGGCCAGTCAATGAATTGGAACTGCCTTACTGTCTTAGAGGAACCATCTCTTGCGTCGGTGACCTAATTTTAGTTTAAAATAAGTTATATTTTGGATTTCTTTAAGTTTAATTATACACACTAAAATTAATAAGTTACCTTGAATTCCCTTAATATATATTGTGGCATATTATATTCAGCAATAGGGTCTACAACAAAACATTGATATCGAACAGATCGGTCAGATGGCCAGTATTGAGCACATTTTTCCTATTGAATTACAATGGAATTAAAATCAGAAGTTAAACCAGTATAGGTATATTATATAACAGCAGTCAACTTACTCTTCCCATTTCTTTGAGTTTTGTTAGCATCACGACTATCGTCGAATTGTGTTCCCAGAGCATTCTCCACAAATCGTCCGCAGTTTCTGGCAAAGGACCTTGAGCTGCAATATAAGCGCTCCGGTATCTATAGCCGTCCATAAAACTCGCATTTATGTAATCAGAGCCCTCGACCCCGCGTAAAGGTGTCAGACAAACCCGAGAACTCTCATAGGGAAGAATATGGATTAGACGATTTTTGTGTTTATTGCATGGTAAATTGGCAGTAACGAATCGTGATGCATCCGTAGATTTTGTGCATGATAATCGTTTGAACTCCAATTCCATGCCAGTGACAGACTCTCCTGGCTCTGTTCGCATCAGGCGCTGTATGTGGGCATGTAAACCACGGGCTGGTATCTCTGTGTTACCGCAGACGATCGCCTCAAGAAGTGCATCGTGTATGAAAACATACTGATCTTCTGTTTGTACCATATAGTTACGCTGAGCTCGTAGGCAGGTAACATGGCCGTAAATATCAACAGTTTTTTCGTGACGTAAACGTTCAAGCATGGAATCGATTACAATAAAGCAACCTGTTCGACCAACACCGGCGGAGCAGTGTACCACGACTGGGCCACAGTCAGCTGGTGTTAAAGCACGGACACGACGCAAAAATTGTAGGAATGGTGCTGGATGATCAGGTACGCCATGGTCGGGCCAAGCTGTGAACTGGAGTTGCTTAATTTCACGTCGTTCTGTAGCGCCTGTACGCTGGATTTGGAATGTTCGAATGCAATAAGCTGCAAGTTCCTGCAAAAAAAAAACAAAATTTATTAGAGCATTGAAAAAAATCTATTAATTCCATATTTGGTTATTTATTACTTGTACGTCAACTGTAGTGACAGTCATTTGGCCATAAACGTCTGAACCCCTAGTCGGCCAATATTGGTCACACTTTATACGCGCTCGTTCTTCAAGTCGGGTCATCATCACAATAGTTGCACATCGCAACTCCCAACACATTCGCCAGAAATCTGAAGCTGTTTCTTGTAAAGGACCTTGGGTTGCTACATAAGCATTGTTGCGCCTAAAACAATAATTTAGTAAAATATAACTAAAAGCTATATCACAATATCCATATAATAGAAACAAGATAAAAATAATGTTATCTTCAGAATGTTTTTGTCTAGTCTAGGTATTGGTATTATGAAAAAACTCTGTCACAACTGGCAAAAACAAAGGAACAAAATTCTGTACTTTCATTAATATATAAAATTAAAAGTTTCTAATTATTTACCTGTATCCGTCACAGTAATTTGCATTAATGTAATCTCCACCTCGGGATTCAGTTGGTTGCAGGATAACACGACTGTGATCATAAGCGATTACGTTAGCATACCGATTTTTAGGTTTATTAACTTCCATATTAGAGTGATCCCAAGTGAATGTTTGTCCTGTTTCGATACTTTCATATTCCTGAATAATTGAATTATTGGTTTAATACATTTTCTATTTTATTCATATTTACAACTTAAATGTGATATTACGAAGGTAATTGAAAGACAAAATATTGCTCTTTTAATTTAATAATGATGAAACAAAAAAATCCTTTATCATTCACCTGTGCAAATTTGAGATTGTCATTAGCTTTAAGGCGTTCAATATGATCGGCCAATTCGGAAATGGGTATTGGAGGATGTGACATCATAGCGGGAGTTTGGAAGTTTAATCTTCTCATTTCAACTGGATCTTGTGGTGTTGGTCCTGCTCCCAAATCGGCGGCCATGAGTGGACGAGTAACTGCAGCCTGATCAGGTGCCTTGCATGGTCTATTGCGTCGTCTTGCTAAGAAGACCAGCACCAGACAAGCGGATAATAATAGCGCTGCTATACTTGGACCTGAAGAAATAATAGAAATAGTAATTTTGCATAATAATTTAAAACTTTCAACAAAATAGTGGAAATTGTGTATAATAATTATTTTACTCACCTACTATCCAAACAAGACCTGCTTCTTCGGTGTTGCGATTAACAGATACGTCTGGGTCACCTCCTGGTGCATTGGGGTCTGGTCTACGAGGTGGGTCACCTGGAGGTACTTCGCGCATACTGAGTGATAAATACTCAGAAAATGGCGATGAGGTATATAAGTGCTTTTGGGGAGTGTCCACAACAGCTCGTACAAAAATACGGTAACGTCTATCTCGCTCCAATCTGATGGAATAAATATTAATTGAAGGGTATTTAGTAATTTGCATTAACAATTTATTATAAAGTAATAAATAAAATAGAAAAAAATAATTGCAATGAATTGAGAGCAATTACGTTCAAAATTGTTTGTTCAAGTACATAATTATTAAAGGTAATAATCTGATGTATAGTCACGTGTAGATCACCTTCTATTTGTGAATCCATCATAAATATCACCACTGCCAAGATGGAAAGTATAAGGAATATTGCGTTGAGGAAATTTCGCAGCAATATAAGGTGCGTCCAGAAGTGATGCTTTGGCCATAGATGCTGATGTGCCAGGTGCACCATTATTATTCACCATTTTAGCTCCAGCAATCATTTCGTCCGTCAAAAATTGATCAGGATGTTTGTGAGCCAATGATTCGTCTTCAGGTACAACAATTAGGTAATAATGAGATATTGGACCATACTCTTCAGAAGCTTGTGGTAATATGACCTAAACAAAAATCACCATATTTATAATAACACAAGATTAAATTCTCATATCCATATCTCTAGTGATTATATTTTATAGATCTATTTCTCCTGTATTCCATTTCGTACCTGTATTTCTTCTCCATTAACGACACCGTAAAAATCAGGTTTGACCATAGGTTGTGGTGCAGCCATTTGTGTAGTAACAGTAATTCTAGCAGGTGGTCGGTACTGGTAATCATTTGGTACGGCACTTACATTGACACAATACGTTGTGAATGGTGACAATTCGTCTATCATATGATTTTTGGCATGAGCAGGTAATACTACTTCGCGCCTTGGCACAGTTTGAGATCGGGTGAAACCTTGTGAATCAACGAATTCTTTGACGGCGTCGAATGATACCTAAATAATAAAACATAATATATGCAAAAATGTAATGCATTTTGTTTCCTTTGTTTATTATTACCTTATAATTTACAGGGTTTAGGCGAATTGGCGGAGACCAAGATAAAGTCATCGAATGAGTGCTGACGTCGTGCGCTCTTAAATCTAACGGCACATCTTCTGGTTTAACCTGAAACAGCATAAATAACAAATTAGATCAGAACATTGCAGTATATATCACATCAATACCCATGGTCAATAGACCTTTGAGCTGCCTTGATTTATACTAGTAATTAATAACCTTGATTTTAAATTTACCTTAACATTGACTTTTTCCGACAGTCTCCAAAGACCACCATCTGAAGTTCTGGCCGCTACAGCCACACGATATGTGGCATATTTTTCCAAATTTACTAAATCCGCAGATTCTGTACGTGCTACATCTTTATGTTGCCATTCGTCCAAATCAGAACCTGCATCCATAGAAGCTGTTGCTGCAGCCATTGCGTAGAACACCCTGAAAAAAATAAGAACATTAATTGTTTTTTTCAGTCATTGGTTAATATTAAATTGAATATAGAATATTCAATTGAAACAATAGTATGTAAATATTATGGAGCTTGGGGTGATACATTGAATTTTAATTTGGTATCTCTATAGTATGCAAGTTTTCCCTGTGATTTTAGAGCAACTCTTGTCAGAGTAGTACCTTGAAATGTGTATTGGGCATATCTTCATATAAAGCCTAAACTTGTTTTCCTTGTTTTCTTTTTCAGTTCCAAATAAAAACTTTATGATATTTACCTGTAACCAACAACTTTTCCACGAGATGGAACGCCTTCCCACCATACTTCGGCGCTTGAATCAGAAGTTGCAACCGCTTGAACAGACATTGGAGCTCTTCCTAAATCACGTTCCGTCCTTGCAGACACATCTGCGCAATAAGGACCTGCTCCACGACTTGTATGAGCTCTTACACGGATTAGATATTCAGTATTTTCTTCCAAACCTGGGAATAATATCAATTATTTCATACATTACCATAACCGAATACTGCAATTTACCTTGGTAGATACCTTGGTTAATACATTAGGAATAGATTATAATGATCTAATCAATTGTAAGGTTTTAATCAATGTGTATTACATTTTATGATTGGAATACAAGGTGTTAATATCATTTCCGATTACACAGAAGCATATCAATAGTTTTATTATAAACAATCCTTTACCTCCAAAGACAACTCTGGCTCCTTCGTCCACATTACTTCCAGCGGTAATATTTGCGGTATTTTCTGCTGCCACGGAACCATCGGATTTGCGCCTGAGCTGGGCATCATATCGAACAATACGGCCATTTCGATGTTCGCGAGTTGGTGGCAACCAGCGCACCACTATGGAATCAGGTGTTTGGAATCGAACTTTTACCTAGATAAAGAATAATTTAATAATACAGTCGGTCAAGTAAGAGCGTGGCCGACTTTAACGACAGTTAATGAAAGATTTCGGTCTAATTCTTTCGTGAGCCGATGAAGTAAAGCTTTGTCCTTGATGCATTGTCAAAAAAAGTTTAGTTGCAGTTGATCTTTTGAGAAAAAATTACGTTAAACGCCATGAGTGCTAGGTTACGCGTCGCACTACGAGGCTGCTCCCTTTTGCATTCACCTAAAAGGTACCCAAATGTTGCAATCAGCTGCTGCTAAACATATGAGAAAGTTGAAGGCATTTGTACAGAATTTTATACGCCTATATAAAGTTGCTAAAAAAGTCGATGATTTATCAGGACGTGGTTCAAATGAAAAAGAAGAAAAAAGAACAGTGAATGGGTATTTGCGGAATCCTGCTTTAACACTGCAGCAAGGACGAGCAAAATTAATGGCAAAATATTTAGAAATATCTACAAAAATATCTACAAAACTATCTAAATCTTTCTTCGTATTCATGATCTGAAATGGCGCAACACAACGGGGAAGCCTCTGACGACTGAAAAACATGTGCTTCTTTTCCGCTTGAGCACATGAAAATATTGTTAGAGATTTTGAAATTGTCATTTTCACTGATGAAAGTTCTATATGAGCACGTACTGCCCTCATCGAGCCGTTAAATTAAAATACGAGCCGTCGGACTAAAATAATCCGTTAAATTAGTAAAAAGCAGGCGTCGGAGATGCCAGCCAATTGTCGACTCCGGTGGTGACTGGACACATATTGACCAAAATTGCATCCTTGCTTTTAACGTATACAATGCATATATAAATATTAAAGTTTCATAAAATAATTATTTTTATAAATTAACCCGGCCACGCTCTTACTTGACCGACTGTATATAATAGAAATCTAATAACTTTTCACGGTTCGTGTAGGCAAAATGTTTTATATCATCCTTAAAATAAAATAAAATTATTATAATGACTAGACAGCGTTTAACACGTTGAAGACTGTGAGCTTACCGGTGAGTAACTACGTAACAACTTTTGTTGAAATCGTGATAAATTGAAATAAATCTAGGGGTTGAATAATATCGACCTCAAATGATAACACCAAAATATTTAAAAAAATGAGTTTGCGTAATTAACAATACGCCCTAAATAATAATAAGAAAAACCGACGAGTAATGTCTACAAAAGTCAACATTTGTTCAGTAAGTATATAAATATTCATTCGACATTCATAAACTTTATTATCAAAAAATACTCATACAAATGTGTACATATGAGTAGAATTCGAATATAATCAGATAATTCAAATATAGTAGATTCGAAATGAATATGTTACCCATAGATAAGGATGTTACCTCTGTCGGTGGTCCATCAGGAGCTCCTTCTGGTGTTGAGTAATATTTTACCGCCTCTTGTCCGACTCCAATGGCATTTCGACCAGCTACACGAAATTCATATTCTACGCCTCGTTCGAGATCACCTTTTAGAGAAACATGAATAATTAGTATAAGTAGTACCAGTAAATTTGTAGAAATTTGAGATTTAGAAGATATCATGATACTTTAAATAACTAGAAATTCATTCCTATTAAATATTATATTGGATTTTCATCACAAGTATGAATATATTTGTTGTTTCTCTAAGTCAAGTTTCCTTAATTTAATTTATCACACCTATTCTCCTGGCCGTGATTTGTCCACCATTGATGTGTTCCTCTTTTAGTGGTGGTTGGTCTCTTACACCATGTCTCAATCGATAGCCTCTAAGTTCTCCGTAGGTCTGAGAAGGTTTACTCCATTCCAATTCTACAGTTACTGATGGTTCTCTTTCGATTACCTTCAAAGTAACATGAGGTCTGTGAGGAACGCCTCCTGGGGTCCGTACCATGACTGGAGGACTGCGATCGCCGTCACCTTTGCGAGTCAAAGCTGCCACCTGAGGTAAATAATGGATAAAATGATGTCGAAAATGTTAAATCAAAAATATTTTTGAACCTGTTCAAAACAAGATCTATCTGTTTTTCATCAGGGTTATTTTTACACAAATTACGATTAATATAAGCTTGTAGGCTTCGACGATATTGGAGATGAATACCAGATGATACAACATATCTTTTAATTCTAACATATTTCGTAAACTTTACAAATCTTTACTTTTCAGTTATTTTAATGTATTTTCAATTTGCGAATGATATTGACAAAAATATTTAATAATTCAGATTGAAAGTAAAAAATAAGATACAACGTCCTCGACTCAAATTTGAGATCTTGGCCGAAATACTAGTCAAAGTTTAATATTTCTAATTCACTAATCTTTTAAGCATAATAATTTCGATTTTTACTTCGAGGTCCACAAGCGTGCCTTCAGTGCTGTGACACCCATATGGAATTTATGTGGATTTCAGAAGGCTCCCGATGCTCGGTGCTTACTAAGTTTGAATTTTTAGTTTTAATTAATTCAATTTACTAATTCGATGACTGTTACATAGAGCACCTATAAGAAGATGCATTTGACAATATTTTAATCTTACAGTTATAGAAATTGAATATATTATAATAAAAAATAGACTGATCTTAATACTGAAATTATGATTTGTAAATATTTTGCATGCTAAATAATATAATTTATAACAAATGTAAACCTGAACACTGTATCTAGAATCAGGTTGAAGTCCAGTGACGTTTAGTTCCAACGCGGCGCCATCCAAAACATCAAATCTCATAGGATCGTTGAGCAGATTCTGTGTTTTACCCTAAAATATTTTCAGAAATATTCAGATTATTAAATTATAATTACCTATCACCTACAGCCTACTAAAGAGTTGAGTATGAGATCAACTCATACGATATTTAGAATTCAGTCTGAAATAAACTATCTCTTAGGTATTAGTTACAAAGTCGAACATAATTATTAACACATAATAAAATAATAATCTTGAAATATAACGAATATACTCATAAAATTACATAAAATTCTGGGCGCTAAAATTGAGATAAAATTATTCATGAAAATATACCGGTTACTGGTAAGGCCCACTTGTTATATTCACATTTGCGCAAATATTTTAGAAAATTGTATTTATCTATTATAACTTCGTAACAATCAAACAAATCCAGAAAATGCTTTTTTTTAAACTCGTAAAAATTTTTGCACAGGAAAATTATGAAAAGGCTACTGACATAATATAACAAAGTTCTATGATTTAAATAGGTTGATACAATTGCAAAATAAGTTATATAGGTAAATAAACAGTATTGCGGAAAAAATGTAAGAACCATATCCTTGACATAAAAATCTTACAATTGAGTCAAAAAATTAGAATAATTTTGTAATTACGACTATTTCACAAAGTTGGATAACTTTCCAGTTGTAAACGTGTACTTACTCAAAAAAAAAGTACTGAATGATATAATTTAAAAAATATTAGGCAAAATATTGCAGAGTACGACTATGGTAGAGCCGACTTGTATCTTATTATTTTATAAATAATTTTTCAACTTCAAATAATTAATATATGGTAATTATTAAATTTTTATTACCTCTTCTTTAACCTCTTGGACATGAACGTGATACCCTCTAATAACACCATTACGATCCTTTTCCAGAGGCGGGCGCCAAACGACATGTATGGACGTGGAATTCAATGGGGTCACTTTGACTTCTTGGGGCTCACCAGGCACTGTTATTTGATCATGGGGCAAATCAGAAAATGCACTAATCTCGGATTCATTTATTTTAAGATTTACAACTTGCACGCGAACGAAACGCTTAGGTATTCCTTGGCATATATTTGTAAATAATGTGCTTGGGGATACCTGTGCGCACCTCATGCATACATGATCGACCACGTAATGATAATAAAATTATTGATAAAAATTATAATTTACTTTCGAACAGTGTTTAAAAGACTTATGCAGAAATCTTAGAGCGTAATAGTGCAAACGAGGCTATTGATAGTCTCAAAAATGTTGCAGTGGCTCCAATAATAAATCATCTAAAAAAATGTACCATTTAGGAATATATTTAAAAAAATAAATAAGATATTTTTCATCAGTATTACGTGTGATCATTTATCTCACAAAACCGATTGTTTATGAACATTATCTGTACAAATCCATAAACAACCATTTTTGGACATAACGTATCAAATGCACATCTACTTCTCAATTCACTTATAAATAATAACAAAAATAATAAAATCGTCGAATTTTCAAATCCTCCTAAATCCATATTCATTATTTACACAGTACAAACGCTTCGTGACATTTGAATACCAACACGAAAATATTTTTCGTAGGATAACAAATAAATTCGAATAAGAATAACAAGATACATTTTTTTAAATTTACTCTCTACACATACCTGTACTGCTCACTTTTGGTAACATTTAACAAATTATTTATATATTTAAACATTTATAATATTATGAACAGTTGCATTCAATATGATAACTAATTTTACTTCGATTTAAATTTACTTATACTTAAACTAAATAATAATATAACCATGCACTATTGTATCCTAAGATTGAAAATTTACCAAAATTTCTAATTTATAAAATTTAATTAACTATAAATAATCAATAAAATTTTATTTCGTTTCTGAGTTAATAATTCGTTGGTTTAATGTTTTTTACCTTGGCTACGGATGCATTGAGATTTAGAAATAAAAATTTAAATAATCGATTATTTTGAAAAACATGATCATGTTAAAAAATATCACTAGCACAGCAAATGTTAGAAAGAAGAAAATGGAGGTGTAGCTTCGAACTGAGATATATATTATTCAGATATAGGTATACAATTTTCTTTGAAATTTTTTTGGAAAATAATTTTGTAAATTTTCGAGTTGAGTTTGAAGCTGCACCTTAGTGCAAACTGCTGATCAAACCAATTATTGGCATTAATTATTATATTCGAAATGTGTAATATTTTTGGTAGGTAAAGAAATTATAAAGTAAGTGCTTGCATAATATATTTTACAGAAATAATTAAATAAGATCGCAAATTGATTTTAACCCTTTCACTACGTGAGTGTTTTCCGCAGAAGTGACACTGCTGTACGGAACAGCAAGCCGCAAAAAACAACGTATTTTAAGGATAAAAATCATTATCAATATAAATGTATTTAAAAACTAAAAATTAAACCTGGAAAAAACCTGAAATTTTCAATAATAAATTAGAATACTCAATAAATTAACTCAGAGTGATAAATATCAAAACAGTCAATGACGTCGATCGTTATGCTGATGCCGTTTAAAGGCGACACTCGTACACACAGGTAGTCGGAAGGGTTAAAATATATAAAGTATATTAGGTGTCATATCGATTCACTCTTTTATAGCCGGATAAAATTGAAAAATAAAGGATCACATATATATACGAGTATATAAGGTGACCATATTTTTAGGCCAAAACCGGGACGGCAAATTGTTGTTATGATACTTGAATATAATTTTGATAACAAATGCTATTCAATTATTTGAGGATGCAATAAAAAACTTTTTTTTAAACAAATCCATTTTTATGCAGAATTACTGACTTTTAGTAGGAATCATTATGTTATATTTTTCATGTACATATACGTTTTCTCCGTTTTTAAGCCTTCTATATAATTCTATTCAATTTTCTTCGTAATTGACTTACTTAGTCAAAATTCAAATGTTCAAAAGGTCGTCCTCATGATTTTTGCTAATTATGGTAAAATTGCAAATAAAAAGGTTCGAAATTATTAACGTTAAAGTTACTCGCATTTGGAATGTTGCATTCGGAAATTTTCTCATTCATAACGTATTGTTTCATAAAAACATACTCGTTGACATTGCAAATATTTGATGAATGATTGTAATTTTATTTGCAAGTAACTGCAAAAATTTAATTCAATTTTATACTTTTTGAATAACCGGTATAATCCAGGATAAATATTGCTTTGAGAAACATCGGGACACAAGGTCACCTTATATAGGGTGGCCCATTTAAAAATTGGAATTTATCGATAACAACTTGCCTGTAGGCCACACCGTGCGGAATTCGAAGTTGCGATATATGGGAAAAAAATTAAGAATTTTGAGACCTTTCTAACGATGTATAATACTTTATATATTTTCTTTACAGAAATATCTAAACCGTAAGATCACTAGATCACTAGGACCACTAGATGGACCACCCGTTATATAATAAAACCGGGACTGTCCCGGCCAAAAATCGGGGCGTATGGTCACCTTATATATAAGAAATTTTGTCGCTAAAATATAAATTCACAGTCTTGTACTTTAATAGTTAAATTATTCATTACCCGGTTTGTAATGCCATTTTCAACAACTATCAACAAATTCAAGATCTATGGGCAACCACGACTCTATCAACAGTTTACACTTTTGGAAAGAATAAAAACCAAACAAAATCGAACGCGCAAACAGAGTAAAATTGAAAAATAAACATGACGTGGCAGTTTTATTCTGCCAACAGCTAAAAACATAATACAAAACTTTTTCGAGACGTATTCTCAAAAACAGAGATATCGTCTTTTGGGATTCAACTAACGCAAAAAAGGATAACAACACACGAAAGCGACACGGCGATACTTACTCCTCCCGGCTGTGCCAAAAGTATATCCAAATGATCGGCGAGAGTTGGCGGGTTCGAGAGGTAATATTGAAAAAATATCGAAGAACGACAGTCAGTATAAAAATTCAAAACAGGTTTTCACAAAAATCAAACATTTCAAAAATTCATCAAAAATATATCAGGATTGTCACTTATCACATATGGCAAAAATTTGTTTCAAAAATCGTCATCGCACGCAAAAATTCTTGCATCGTACGACGGAAAATATAGTGTACCTGAGTTTTACAAAAGTTTAGAAATGCTAAGCGTCTGTTAGAGTTTCTAAGCTGTTGTAAACATACCAATTGATTTTAAACAAAAATATCAAAACAGCAATACTATAAATCCATAGTATTGAAACCTCCTCCAAAATCGTCAAAAAACAAAATATCGATCACATTATTCCTTGCGTCCACCCACGCACATGTAGTGATTCCAAAAATGTAAAAAATTATCAAAAATAATCCTTCGCTGCACGACACTTTTCACAGACGATGTTATAAAAAATAATTGTATAAAAATTGGAAAATGGAAAACCAAAAAATAGACTGTGCGTATAAAAACTCCATCGTCGTTTATTTTGTGTATGTAGTCCAAAAACAAAAACTTTCGACTACAGTGGCAAAATATGTTTCAGTGTTTTAATATTTCGGTTATTGGCATGTGTGCGTGTTGCAAAAATATTCAAAAATTATTTGGCGGCACTCACACACACGCAAAAAATTAAAAACCTTCATAATACCAAACCAGCACATTTTTCTGTATACTTATTACTGTGTCCGCTTGTAATAAATATAGTTGGTTATTAGTAGTAATATAATATATAAGAGCATGCAGAGTATAAAACAACAAAAAATACACATAACTACGAATATAAAGAATTTGAAAAATAAGATTTACGATGAAAATTCGGAAATAAACGTCTACAAGCGACATATAAAAAATGATGACGCTCGTATTGCAAACGTCAATACTTCCGAATAAATACTGCAAAAATTCTAAAATTTGTATTTCGCATAGTGTTCAAAATTCATGTATATGATTGTGACACTGTACTTAGTATTGGTATTCAAATGTAGATCATTATGGTCCTTTAATATGCTTACTTATTTTTTATTTCAAATAAAACCTATGTACCCGAAGAAAACTGTGAGATACTGGATTGGAAAATATCGTATTGAAAACTTTAAATACTTTAATTTCCATCCAGTATCCCAATAAACAATAAGTCAAATCAACATGATAATTCAAACACAGGAATAGTTAGAAACCAACAGAAGCCTAATGTCAAACTTGTGTTATTATATTATTCAAATTGTAATAACTAATTAGAAGCTTAAGATGAAAATTAGTAAATTACTTTTCGACTTTTATAAAGCCGATACATTATTACAGTAGTAGTATTACTATTCACACTCGCACACGCTTTCTCACAGGGTGCATATATAATATTTGTAGTGCGGCCAAAACAGAAAGTGCTTTTTTTCGGTGATACAAATCAGATTAATAATATTTGTGCCATTGTGCGCATGTCAAATCAATTGCCTACTATATTATATAGACATAACCTAAATTGAATCAGGTGTAGGAATCATCAAGGATAGGAAGATTCAATCGTAAAATATGACGTATTTGATTTGAAACCTCTTGTTAGACTATTATTTGTAATAAGCAATAAAAATACGCTAAAAGTAGATGTAAAATAGGTGAGATGATAGAAAATTTAAGATAAACGCGACCGATCAGATCTTCTTGATCTTACAGATCCTCTGAAGGAGGTACAACGTTAATCTTCCAAAACATCGTTGCAACTACTATGAATAGTTACTCTGATAACAACTAAAAATAAATTCAATAAATTCAACTATAAGTTATTTTACATCACTTGGTGCAGATACGAAAAATAGGTGAACTTAAGCGCCAACTATCTTCAAGGTTATTTGCTTTGACGTGAGAGTAGCAAACTTTTTACTGTTCTCCTATATTTTAAATTTCTCTCAGTTTTCTGAATATAAAGCGTTTGTTTTTCAATTATGTCAGTTTAGATTATAAAAAGAGGACAACAAGGTAGTGATTCAAAAATGCCTGTCTCCACCAAGCAGACTAGAAAAAGCCTCAATAGAATGAAATCGTTAACGCATTCTTTAGATCATACTTGGTCTTTTGATCATACTAATTCGGTCATTTTGAAAGCAATAACTTTTAGTAATGCATTATATCGTAGAAAGCTCGTGAACCGTTATTATTATCATCTCTCACAAAAATACAATTGTAAAGCATATAAACTTAAAAAACCTTAGCTTTAAACTTGAAAAAATAACGAACGATGCCTTTTTGATCCTATGTTCTTGTAGTTAATTTGTGCATCTAATCAAGTACTAACTTTGACGTCGAGATACGAACAACAATATTTCTTTGAGAACTACCAAAAATTGAATAAAAATTTATGTCTTTCTGATATTGTTTCGATCAATAATAATCATTAACGTTTTAATCATTTCCCACGTAAATGCAAAAATGTAGCATGTGGACGCACTAAACTCTTTTGCGAAAATAAAAAATCTAAATAGACTTTATTCGATCCTGTTTTTTTTCTAAGTCATTTGTTTAGTAAGTGAAGTACTACTAGCAAAAACAAATTGAAAATTATATGGCTTAAGGATACTGTTTCGACTGCCTTATTTATGCTTCTCAGATTCGATTGAAAAAGAGTGTTTTAGTGTTTTGAATAAGTGATTCTAGATTAAGGAAAAATAGGATAGAGTTGAATATAAAGAGGAAGATAGTAGGAGTTATCTAAAACCAAACCAAAAGAGTGATATAAGCATGCAATAAGGTGGTACTGTGTTCAAATCTAGTATACTCAAAAAAAGGTGCGTGCGCGTAGTGAAAATGCAAAATAGTGCCGGCGTTTATTTGTAGATATCAAAGTACTTTATTTGGTTCAAATATTAAACATTGAATCAAATATGTAAAAAAATACTTTAAATTCAACGTGAGTGGTATTCAAAGTGCAATAAACAACGACAAATTGCATTGTGCTATTATATATAAATATATAATATATATCAAAAATAAAATCGCAGAAGCAATCAATACATGTGATAGTGAGTGTTCAAAAATACACTAAACATTTATGATAGTCGGTGTAAGAATTGATATTATTTCGTTCAAATATATAATATAAAACAAAATATAAATAAATCACGGTGATTAATTATAATTAAGATTGAATAATTATATTTGATATATCAACAAGCAATATAATTTGGATCATAAACCTCCTCAACAAATCCTGCTAGATTAAGCGTAGGGCTTTTGAAGAGAAAAAAGGAAATAGTGTTAGTATATATTGTCAAAAATTTGTTTCCAAAAATATCAATATATATTGTTTGTCTACACATAACTATATACTAAAATATGATTTTTCTTCTCTCTCGCGGTAACTAAAAATGCATAACGCCGCGGCCGATTCAAAAACTACATCAAATGACGAGTGGATGCTGCAAAAAAATATTGGTTAGACATCAAAAATACAGTTGTCCATCCCAATCTGCAAGCATGCCTCATCTGCGCAGACACCTGAAAAAATCGCTTCAAACTGCAAAACAAAACTTGCGCCACGCTTCTTGCAAGGCGGGCCAAAAATCTTTGCACCGATCTAAATTGGTGATCAATTGTCTTGGATGGAAAAAAATAAAATAAGAAAAAGGTCTAGAAATTCAATTCACAGGAGGAATAACGGAGAAGGTTCAGTTTTTTTTCAACATTAGAAATAAAAAAATCAGTATTATAAAAAATAATACTCAAAAAATATTGTGGCATTATTACATTAGCTTCAATAAAAAGATCAAAATCAAAATGGTAAAAATATTTTGTATTTCAAAATATATAAATTTTAAAAAAATATTGAAGAAATCAAACAATGCCTCAATAAAATATTTTTTTTCTGAAATTCTTTTCCTAGAAAAACTCATTGATAATATGTATAGTTGGTAGGACATAAGAGATCATACAAATACATAATATTCCTAGTTAAAAACATTTTTTAAAAATAATAAATGTTAAGAGATGATTCAGAAATCTTGGCTTTGTGAGAAAGACGATTTTGATAAAGTTTTTCACATTTACTTTAAAAAAATTAATCAGTAATAGCCGAGTCAATAAATTCCGTCTAGAACTTTAACATAATATGTTTGGTAAATTCTAGCAGGTTAGTTGCTTTAGGGCACATATTTTTCAAAAATGACTATTTTAAGAATTTTTTTTTATAAAAATCACCTGCATTTCGAAATATCCCGAAAATTAGGACAGATACGAATAAAAATACTTAAATAAATAAAAATTGAGATAAAAAAAATTGAGTTGCCTTAAAAATCAGAAATTTAAAATTATAAAAAAAATTAGTGCTGTTTTTGAAAACTTTCTTCGAAAAACCTTCACTGTCTCGGCTATAAACGGTGATAAAATTTTGATTTTGATTAGATAAAAACGCTTGATTTTTATATAATAATATGAATAACTTTTTATTAAAATCATAAGAACTGAACACCAGCATAAAGAAAACTAATCAAATGACGACGAATCATATCTTAACATTTTATAAAATTATTTCACAAATATAATATTCACAAAGTATCAATATTTTGTGGCTAACTAATGCTAAATCATGTGAAGAACCGTTCAGCAAAAGTATTACATATACATTTGTTATGTCCATATTGTCCGCAACAACAGCATTTGTGAAATAACTTTATAACATTTTACATTATTGTTAAGTAATAATTATGTTTCTCATAAAATTATTCAAAAATAAAAATAAAACAATACATACCGTCTTCGTGAGTTCGCACAGTAATAGGATAGCTGGTAGGTCCGTCTCCCACGCTCGTGCCGGCCAGTACCCAAATTCTATACTCGGTCCATCGTTTCAATTCGTCCAGGACAAATTCGGTGGCATTTAAGGTGGTGACGGACGCTTCGCTATCAGATCTTCCTGATTCAACGACCTGCAGTTTATAGTACACAATTCTACCATTCGCACTTTCTGCCGGAGGCGGAGACCATTTCACTTTGATAGCCGTGGGACTTATTGCCTCGGCGGTTACATTGCGAGGCGGGGCGCCCGGTACTACGATTTATTTGGTTTTCATATCAATTGGTCAACAAAACATAATAAAGGACTAATAGGTATAAGGAAGGAAAAAATGATAATAAGAGCTAGGTAATTCGCAAAAAATTACTCTGCAAATATTCATGTGGAACAATGGTTTGTGATGAATATTGTTAAGCAATCTTTGGCGAATAACTGCAACTTAAGCTGCAATTGGAGGATATTGAACTGTATATCAGAAGCACATAATACAACTCGATAAATTACACTTTAACTAGTTAACTATGATTGACGAATATACCTGACAGAATTTTGTGCATTAACGAGTATGCGTATATGATTTTGTGTTCTGTACGAGTCATGCGTATAAAACAGTAATCATTTTCTATTTAAATTGGAATGTTTGAAAAAAGCAAAATATATTCTATGATGTCAAGCTGATAGAATATTTTGAGGATATTATAACCGTATAAAATTAGAAGTTCTAAGTGGCATTTTATTTACCCAGAAAACACCGAGCGGCAATAGCAACCTGAAATCCACATGAATTCCACATGGATGTTACAGCGCTGAAGGCACGCTTGTGGATTTCAGATTGCAACCGCCGCTAGAATCACTTTCTCAAATAATAATTAAAGTTTAGCTCTCTAAATAACATTTTTCCTCTTTATTTTAAAAACAGTCTTTGCTTATTTCATTTAATTTAATCTGTTTTTCGTTCAATACGTATGTGCTAACAAAGAAATATAATGTGCTAAATAAATTATTCAATTTTGTCAAATAAACCAAATTTTTACCCGATTTCTCACCAGCATAACTTACTCTGTTATTAACGAATATACACGTCATGCATTGGATTCCGACGACACAATTTGTGCGCACTGTTTGATGTGAACCACAGTTAACAAGTTAAATTGATCATATATAAAATGAAGATTTTAAAATTAAGATTCAATAAATTTATAGTTGTAAAGTATCAAATAAAAATTTAAATAAAAATATTACAATGGCGCCACCGATATACAGTTCAATCAACTTAAATTAACTAAATTAAAATTACGGATTAACAGATAATATATAAAATTTCCTGAAAAAAATCTTGATATTAAATAATCAAAAACAACCGTTGTATAAAATTCAATCTGTTGCACACATTGCTGTATGACTTCGTCAATAATTCGTCATATTGAAATTGTCAATAATATCAATGTATCAAATTACAATTACTAGTGCGGTGCATATAACGTACAACAAAACAAAAAAAAGGTAATACAAACTGAAAAACATCAATTTATATCCAAATATATAAATATATTAACTAGAACTTAAAAGGATCATGCAAGAATTCAAAATTGTATAATACATCACGCACACTCTCATCATATACTATGTAATCAAGAAAATTGTTCAAAAATCAATAATTTTCTTAATCAAAAAACAGAAGGCAAAATGTAGCACGCGTCAATGGGAGATGACACAATTTTTTGACTATTAGTTAGCTTCTGTACAGCTCTACATTGTGGGCAATACTACTTTACCAAAAAATATACAAAAATAGGGAAAAAATCGAACCCTTCAAAAAATATTCGTGTTTATGATCTTTTTTCACACGGCAGTTTGATTTATACTGCGCTTACCGAAATCCTTCATGTAAGCTAAGGAAAATATTTGGATTATTAGGTCCTTGGTTTCCTTACCGTACTGTTTGGTGCGAACTGGAATTGGAGGCGTAGTTGCTCCTTCTCCTCTTTGGGATCTTGCAGCTAACCAGACGTAGTATAAAGTATTTGGGTAGAGGCCATTTAGTTCATATTCTTCATTTGTCGCGGGAATACGCCTAATGAAAATAATTCATTAAAATAATATCATTAAGCCATATCATTTTCACTCCTTAAATTATACCATGATACACTAAACTATTATAGGCAAAAATAGATATCACCAAGAACTACTGGTTAGTTTACCTGCAATCACATAGTGAACCTGAAACTAGATATTTTTCAAACGCAAACTTTTAGGTCAACATTTATCAGACATAATATTAATTTAAAATTCAGTTACAAAATTAAGCAAAATAAGAAGGCTAATACATTTGACATGTCATCGTCAAAATTTACGATACCATTTATTCTCTCGAAAATGAAAACTTCTTCTTCTCCTGAAGGAGAAGTTTGTTTTCGCGAAAAAGTAAGATTTTTTTAATTTTTTTTTTTAGATATGGTACAGACCTGTGATGTTTCTCCTTAGCATATGTATCGTTCCAATATAACTCGTAACTAACAATATTTTCACTGGAATGGACAGGTTTAGACCACTTTAGTTTAACAGCTGTTTCACCAATATCTGAGGCACGTAAATTACTTGGCTGCGATGGCACACCTAATAGAAAAGAGAAATTCATAAAATAAATATACCAATTTAATGAAATTATCAAAAATTCATGTCAATAAACGTATATATATATATATATATATATATATATATACATAATTACATAAAGTAATATAATGACAAATAAACTTAAAATTGAATCTAAACCTGAAATTAAAAAATATGCAAAACAAGCCCCATCAGCCATAGATGATATCAACAATCTCACATATCCTCGTTTATAAATATATGCAAAACATTGATGAGAATTCATACAATGTATTTTGAAGATATTTCTTACCTTCATGTCAACGGCATCATACTAAAATTATACTTAAAAAATAATTTTAAAGCTACTAATTTATAATAACACCTGTAATACGTGTATAAAAAACATAAAACCCTAAACCCCCCACAAACTCCAATTTTGTAAGTTATATTTTTTTTAAATTAATTGTTAATTGGTAGATTAACAGACTGGTAGACGTTAATTTGGTAGACAGGTAAATTGATGAATAGTTAAACAGGTAGATAGATACATACGTAGACAAATGAATAGATAAACAGGTAAATTGGTGAATAGGTAAACTGGAGAATAAGTAAATTCGAGTATATATAAAATGGTAGATAGGACAACTGGTAGATAGACGAATATGTAGAGTGATATAATCAGGTTGACAAGTATTTTGGCAGACAGATAAATTGGTGGGCAGGTAAACTGATGGACAGGTAAACTAATGGACAGGTAAGTTGGTAGTCAGGTAAATAGGTAAGTGCGAGGTGAATAATGATAATTATCATTAACCAATGGTTAACCAGTTAACCTGCTAATAATGTGTAAAATTGCAAATTAAAAAAAAAAGTGTCTTGGCAAGGATTTTTACAAACTATAAGTAGTATAAATTATTATCAATGTAAAGTAAAATTTGAATCTAAATTAAATATTATCATTTATTACCTTGCTGGGTCTTGACGAGTACCGGAGGCGAAATGGGTCCAGGACCCATTGATGTAAATGCTTGTACTCTAATTGTATAAATTGTCAAAGGAATCAATTCACTGATTGTCGTCAATTGATTATTGTCAACCATTTGTGATTCCCATGATGCCATTGGAAGCTCTGGATTTCTGGTATAATACACTTTGTAGCCCTATAATAACAAAATTGGTAAAAAAGAGAAAAGGAATGAAGATTTTAATTTTATTTCATAAATAATACGCTGTTTTTAATTTTTTTTTAAATAAAATAATTCTTAGTATTTTGTTAGTTATATCTAGACCATGCTATTACATAGTGCACAATCTTAATGCTTTACAAAAGTATTTTTATAAATAGTTTTAAGGCGAACAACCTGCTTCCAATATGTTGAAATAGATAATTAATTAAAGCAATGAATATATCAAATATTTTTTAAATTTTTACTATAAAACCAATTGTTTTAATTTCTTTTAACTTACGGTTACTTGTCCATTAGGTGTTTCTGGTTCGTCCCACTGGATGACCATGGTTGAAGAACTTAGTGGTCGAACTTGAACGTTTCTTGGAGCTGTTCCTGGTTCTGCATTAAAAATATTTGATTGAAATAAAAAATATCACTGAATCCGAATATTAAAAAACAATATAAAAATTATTGAATAAACATATGAACAACTACGATGTTAATTAAATGTTCACTTACTAGCACCTCCAAAAGTGGAATCCGCTATTAGTAGCAATAGGAAGATAAAATAATTATTATATGACCTTTATAAAATTCATTGCATATACAAAATATTTCATATCAACTATAACTGCGTGCCAAATTTGCAACATCGATTCCAAAAAATCTAAGTGAAATGATGTGCAAATTCGAAAAAATATCAAAACAAAAATTGCTATCAAAAATAGTCAAAAATATAACTTACATCAAGACGAAAAATTGCATTTGTCCCCAAAAAATGGAGTTTAATGATAGCATGAAAAATAACAAAAAAATCTCATCTCAAAAATTTGTCCAATTCAAAAATATGCGCAAAAAACTACAAAAATATTTTCTAATCTGGACGATGCTGGAAAATAAATAAAAAATGTTTTCTAATCCGAAGAAGCTGGATAATAAATAAAAATGTATAAGTACGTTCAGTCCGTTGTTAGGCAAAGCTGAAACCAAACTAATTAAAAATGTATTATTACATATATGATAATAAACTTATTTTTTACTACTATAAAGTAGGAAGAAATTATGAAGGTTTTATTCAAAAATTTAAATTTTAACAGAACTCACTCGTCTCGCCTGTGGTTTTAACTGCAGGAATACTTGGTGGTCCTCTTCCAATATTATTAACAGCAATCACGAAAAACTCGTATTCAGTATATGGTGATAAATTTCTTACAGAATAGTACATTGTGATGATACCAGAAATCTCACTGTAAGCCTAGAATAAAATTGATGACACATTTTAAAAACATACAAAAAAATGGAAAATAGGAAATTAATCAGTTAAAATTTTATTATAATTATCATTATCCCTTACTTGATTTGCGTATTTTGGTTTGAACTGAATGACATAATATTGAAGATCTTCAGGACCAGTATAGGACCATTCTAGTTTGACACTGGTGGCTGTGACATCAGTTACTTGCACGTTCGTTGGTGGACCAGGCAATGCTAATTAAATAATAATAAATGAATATTTTGTTCAAATATTTTTGAAATAAGGTATCATGTATCTATTTGCAAATATAATAAAAATTTTATGTTCGTTAAAATTGAAAGATCACTCCATGTTGTCGATAACTTTTGCCAGAAATGCAACAAAATTGTTTTGTTCAATGAGTATTGCTAAATTGAGTTTTCATTCTGATAATTGAAGCATGAATTATTATGTAAAGAAAATTGACACATTCAGCACAAAATTATAATGCAGTGGATTTTTTTAATCATATTTGTGTTATATATTGGAACTACCATAGATACTAAAACAAAATATAAAACATATTTTAAAGTATTTACAAATTTGGAAATTAGTTTTAACTTTAATTCATAATCATTGGCAAAAACTTGTCTATTCTTTTCATAAAGTATACCAATCAAAAAGTATCGAATATTTTAATAACTTATCCCATGCAAAGTTAACAATTTGTATTTATGACATATGAAAAAAAATCAAACTTTCAAATTATATTAAAATATAAAGCATAATTTAAAATAACAGCATTAATACGTAATTTAAAATTTTCTGCTTTCAAAATAAGCATTTGTGAAATCTTTCGATTCTGTTAACAAAACAAACAAATAAAAATAAAAATATTTAAAATTGATAATAAAATTGAAAATATTTGAAAGTGAAGTTTTTCCTATTTGATTAAATTTGGAACTACCATAGATACAAAAAATATAAAACATATTTTAAAATTTTCACAAAATTGAGTTTTGTTTCATCTTTAATTCAAAATCATTGGTGAAAACTTGTCTATTCTTTTAATAAAGTATATCATTCAAAAGGAAAATATTTTAATACTTATTCCATGCAACGTTAATAGTTTGTATTTATGGCAAATGAAAAAAATCTAACTTTTAAATTAAATTAATCTAAAACAACTTATGTGTCTTATAGATACCAAAATAAATAAAACATAAAACAATTTGAAATTATCAGTATTAAAACAAAATTTTAAATTGTTTTCAAAATAATCATTTGTAAAAACTTTCTACGATGCTTGGGGCAAAAAAACGGAAATCTGAAATGAAAAATTATTAAGTTATTTTATGAAGTATAAAATTGTTTTTAAAACTATTGAAATTTGTTTTATTTATGCATCTTTCGATTTTAAAATTATAGTTATACATTTTTCTCTTGATTGCAAACAAATAATGTTAACTAAGTGAATCCAATCACGATTAATACTAATTATATGCCCATTAATTTAAAACTTTTGGAAATTAAATTCATAAAAATTTCTTTAGTAAAGCACACTTTAACAATCACAAGTCCTTATATAATAATATAATATTACTAATAATACTTGTATCGCACAAATGTAAGAATTAAACAAAAATAATATATACAAAATGAAGTTTAATTTGAAATCAATCCTTTCGACTTGTGATGCACACATTTAATGGTGTCAACCAATATACACATTTATATAATGATAAATTATAAATTATATATCTATAATAACATTAAAACTATGTATAATATTTAGAAACAATGTAGTTATAGCCATACTTCCAATATGACATGATCGGTTTGTCATTGTAATTAGCATTTAGAAACGAACCTTCGACCTATGCAAAAATTTATACAAATCTCGGAATTCGCGAGTGGAAAGGGTTATTAGCGTAATAAATAATGCCTATTTAATCAATTTTTAAGGCAGTGTAAGTGTTGAAGTTTGATTCATGACTATATGAAAATATGTAAGGAATGTAAGGTATGTAGAAATATTTGTAGAATATAGATAGACCGTTATATCATAAATATGTAATTTAAAATGTTTATACAAAATTCATGCAAACAAAAATGTGAAAAAATTTTAGTACATTTTATAAAAGAATATAGGTTTTATTATTATAAAAGCATCATTATATTTTTAAAAGGCATGCATGCTCCTGAAGTTGCATCAGGAGTTTAGCACTGAATACATATTAACAAGCAAAGTTTCATTTTCCCTTATATCTCAAGAATAGAATTCTGTATCAAGTTCATCGACACTATAGCCTAGTAGAGTTTTCTATAAGTAACAAGTCTTTGGAAAATGTTTTCCATTACTCACATTGAACTTTGACATTAGCTGTGGCCTCTATGATTCCTAGTGCGCTCGCGGCGATGCACGTATAGTTTGCGCTTTCCTGGATGTTGGTTAATTCGAGAACATTTCTACCCACTGGCAACTTATCCTCCGGAGTTATATCTTGTGCTGCGCCTGCAAATCGCAGAAATTATTTCGTACACGTCAGATACACGATAATAATTATAGCCGACGAGGTCCTTAATTAGTCTTGTTTTTATCAAGATTTCGTGCATGTCTGATACTGCCTCGCAGTTATAGTTATAGTTATGGTGATCATTGTGATTTGTGACCTCGGAGGCATTTTGGTCACATGGGAATTGAACATAGACATGGTATGTAATACATACATACATACATATTATATATATATATATATATATATATATATATATATATATACTAGCTGACCCGGCAAACGTTGTTTTGCTAAGTAAGGTATATTTTAAACAATTTCTAGAGAATCAAAAATATTAATCATTTAAGTGTATAAGAATGTGTTGTTTGAATGCTATATACAATGAGGTATTATAAAAACAATAAATCCCATTAGTTTGTCTATATTTTGTCAATGCAATCAAACTGGAAGTTTTATAAACTTTTTATATAAAACATGGTATAAACCAATCTAAGTATTTTTGGTCTTTCAACTTATTTTGGTTACGTTTCAAGTTTTTCAGATTCTTTCATATTCAATTTAAAATTTATTACCTTTCCGCCATTTGACATTGGGCATAGGTGAACCAACAGCGACACATGTCAAGTTCAAATCAGAGCCGATCATGACTTCGGTAATTGGAGGAGGAGGTATAGAAAATTGAGGAGGGACTCGTCGTACTAAAAAGTTATAAAAAATATATAATATTAGATAAAATATGCACACATAAATCACAACGGTTAATGCAATTTATAATTTTCACCTTTAACGTATAAGGTCATCGACTTCGAATACTCTGTACCAAGAGAATTTTCAGCTACGCATTCATATTTCCCTTGATCTTCTTCTTCACTACTTACGATTTGCAGAGAACCTGAAAATTGTATAAATATATTTTATTATTTTTTATTGCATAATATTGTTTTAGATATAAAATGTTCACGATCATCACACTAAATTCATATATTCTACTAATTATGATATCAATGAAATGATGTAATTAAGACAATTTCAAATTTAAATTTTATACTTATCTACTCACAGTAAAAATTGTAAATTGTAGAAATGGTTCAACTTGTTTTATTAAAATTGCAAAAATATTTAACATCAACATAAAAAAATTAAAGATCTTGAAAATATGTTTCAGTGTTTGCAGATATTTAAATTTTCTTTTAAAAATACAGTTTATAATATATGACGTTTGACATCTTATAATCGACACTGAACAGAAAATGTTGCTCTAAAATTCACAAACAGATCCCATCAAACAAATAAGTTTAATCGAATAAGTAAATGCATTTATAAAATACTATTGAAAAAAGAGTCAATTATAACATACCTGCATTGCCACCACCATCTAATAACGTATACCTTGGATTTGACATATCTACAGGCACCATATCTCGAATCCAGTAAATCCTATCATTTAAAAATTAAATTGTGTTAGGAAATGTACAAGTTTAAAATTATAAATTACGCTTAATAGTATGTAAAATTATTTATGAAGATCAAAATATAATATAAAACTATGTAGAAACATTATTGAAACATTTCCCACAAGAGTTTCTGAAAGGGAGGATGAGAAAATACATAAGAAATAAGATCTACTTTTTGTAAAGTTCTTTTCATTTATATATTATATAATTTCAATTGTACAGTAACTGTGATATATAATTTAATTATTGAGTATAAACACTTTTTTATATTATTTCTTTTCATCTCTGTCATTCATTTTTATTTCCTTGAATTTGTCTTTGTTCTTGCTTTATTTATCTTTGGCCTTCTTCTTCTCTTTCTTATCTTTATCCTTCTTGTCTTCCTTATCTTTATCCTTCTTTTTGTCTTCCTTATCTTTATCCTTCTTCTTTTCTTCCTTATCTTTGTCCTTCTTGTCTTCCTTATCTTTATCCTTCTTCTTTTCTTCCTTATCTTTATCCTTCTTGTCTTCCTTATCTTTGTCCTTCTTCTTCTCGTCCTTATCTTTGTCCTTTCTTTTTCTCTTCCTTATCTTTGTCTTTTTTCTTGTCGTCCTTATCTTTGTCCTTCTTCTTGTCTTCTTTATCTTTATCCTTTTTCTTGTCTTTTTTATCTTTGTCCTCCTTCTTGTCCTTATCTTTGTTTTTCTTTTTCTTATCCTTATCCTTGTCCTTATCCGTGTCTTTGGCTTCATCTTTCTTTGAAACCAACAAATATTTATGTTTCTTCCACAAATCATTCGTAACTTTTTCATTCATGTTTGGAAAAACAAGAGTAGTATAAGCACTAACTGTATGATGGTACCCTAAACTATCCATGATATTGTGGATCTCCGAGTAATTCTTGCAAAATAATAACACAGCTAGATCTCCTGTACATATATCTTGAACTTTAATGCGATCAACTCTTAGAACTATTACACTATCAGCGCATTTTTCTTCCAATTCATCTTCATCGAATTTTGAAATTTGAAGCAACTTCAGCACTGTCAATTCCATGTTCAAGTTATTGCATAAATTAATTCTGATTACAGCATTTTTCACTAGACATCCGCCCAAGCTGGTGAAATCAAATTCCTGGCAATCAATATTCTGCATAGCATCGAAACAATTTACAGTTGAATTGAATTGAACAGTCGTACACGAACCAAAGACATCAATGGCTGTTATATTTTTCAGGTAATGGTCAGTCAAATTAGATTTATTTTTCAACCAATATGTAGCTTCTTCTTTATCAAAGAATTTATACCTAAATTCAAGTATGATGGTACCGCCTAATTTGAGCTTCTCCATATTGTATAGATGAAATGAGTACCGGTGCTTATTCTATTATATAGAACTACAACGTTCAATTAACCAAATTTCACTAAATGTATCTTCAAAACACATATTTTTTAATCTACAAAAACTGTGGCCTATGACTCAATGTATAATAAAAAGAGTATTTAGATTTCATATCTCACCTTAGATATCGGTTAATATGGCGTCACAGATAAATGAATAACAATTCGCGCGAAATTTGATAATAATATTACTTATCAAGTTTTATTTACACATTTATCTATATATCATATCGCAAAAAATCAGCAGTAAATTTTTATTATATAATGAAATAATATTATATAATAAATTAACTTTTTATAGAATTTACTTATGCTCTGATGGTTATTAATAAATGTGAGAATCAAATATTATATAAACATTTGTTTTGGCTTAATTTCTGTTATTTTGAAAAGCCTCAAAAAATAAATATGGGCAGTATTGAACATTGAAAAATCCAGTAAATAAACAGATCCTGCGAAACCTACTTACTTTTTATAAGTGGAAATTATATCAAAATTATATGCAAATTATTGATATATTACGTTTACACTTTTCACTTTACACACCTTTAAATTTATATAATATATAAATATATATATTATATATATATATAATATATATGATTTTGATAAATTTTTATTAACGTACCTTGGAGCTGGACTACCCTTTGCCTGGCATTGAAGTGTAGTACTATGACCAATTTCCACTACTCTAGTTGTAGGACTTAAGGTTATCACAGGAAATCCAGATGGAATTTTTTCTGTAACAAAACATAATATTACATTAATAATACTGATAATCTTAATGAAAATAAAACAACTCAAAAATGATTTTTAGACGTTAATTTGTACAAAATTAAATAAGCTACAATAATATCTAATAACGTAAGATCATATAGCAAAATTCAGAATACTCTTTAAGTTAACTATTGAATATTGGGATGGAATTGTTTTCATTTTTGGATTGCAATATTAGATCGTGACGATATAGACAAATCAAAATGTTCAATACGTTTCGATATATGATTTATGTCGTCATCACGGTATATGGACAAATGGGATAATAAGGATTATAAAATACATTCATAATTATAAATATAATGCACACAATTGGAACTAGCACAAAACACGCTAAAATGGTCTGTTGTGGATTCATAATTGTGAATCAATTAGTGACTCTAGATGCAATATATTTTAACAAATTTTTGAGCAGATAGACTTTGATAATTCGATGCACAGGAGACAAAGTCAATGTCCTGTTTTATTTCATGTTAAATTATCCTATTTTATTCAGAGGCAAAACTACATATACATAATTAGATATATGTATATATATATATATATATATATATGTGTGTGTGTGTGTGTATATATAAGCGTGTCCATGGTGTAATGGTTAAGCTCACGGACTCCAGTAGACACTATTCTTCCCTGAATCGAGTAGATGCTCAACTCAGGTTACGGAAAGCCCTAGGCAGTACTACCCATTAGTAGTACCCATTATATATGTTTGTGTATATGTGGTTGTATTCATATAAAATGTCTCTTCCATAGTGAATTTCATTAATCGTCGATATAATAACAACAACAACAACTTCTCACAATCAGATAAAACAATCGCATCCATCTACTTCGATAGTGTGTATCTGCTATTGTCGATTTGTGAATAAAAATAGACGAGAAACTGTCTGTAAAGCTCGTAGAGATTGGTAAAATAAAAGGCGGCACAGAATAGTAGAATAAAGCGGAAGACGATCAAGCCGTTGCCGTTGCCGTCTGCTATCGAAGTTCAATAGAATCGACGCTGCACGTCGTTTGTCCTTTGAGAAACTTTACCTCGCGAAACTAAGCAAACACCGTTTGCAAAACGATATCCCTACAGAAAATTCAACTCCAACTCAAACTAGAACTATAGAGTATAGACTCTCTTTTCCAACTGGAATATTATTCAGCGCCCGGTGCGCGACGCCAAAATCGACGAGTTTAAATAGATATCGGAATAAAATATGTTGCACTTCGACACACTATACACACTTCGACACCAGTCGACGATATGATGAACGTTTTCAACAATTCACCTTTCAATCCGAGACGAAATTCAGGTGACATTATTTTATAAGGTATTTAAACAGATGTCTAAAGTGAATGCTATAGCATTCATATCCTTTGTGATGCAAAATGACGTGATTGCTTTGACATTCAAATTTCATACCCATTAAATTGAATTTAAATTTATATAACCTTACATTTTTTGTAATTATCATACCTGACAACTGACAAGGTAATGACTATCTGATCTTTAAGTATTTCCTTATCTCTTCCCGTAGTCATAAAATAGCTTGAGAATGCACATTGCGCAAAATTACAGCAAAATATTGGTCGTAGATTGCAATGCAAAATTTTAATATACAATAGTAATATAGTAATTTCTTATACTTTGAGTAAAGAAGTGAAACTGGGTACAGTTGTGCCAGGATACGGTAGTGACAGTCAGTGGTGTTGTGCTAATATTTTTTTTGCCGGAACGCTAAAATTTAAAATCTGGTTCATAAACCGGTTCAAAAAATTTGATATATTTCGATAAGAACTCACAAATCTAATATATTGACTTTTTATATAATTAACTCTATTATACACAGCTAGTCTATACATTAAATTGTACAAGTATGAGGGAATCATTGAGTACATAATTTATATTCTTCAATGACATTAATCATATTTATTCTGGTATTATTTGTATTCATTAATACCTACAGGTATTTATTTTGATATAAAAGTACTCAAGATTTATTACAATACTTTATAAGATTTAACCTAATAACATGATAGATAACCTATTACCTATCATACTATATTATATTATATTATCATACCGTGAGATACCTATACCGTCATTAACTTATTATATACCTACAGACCTTTTACTTCTTATAAATACTACTGTCTAATTTATATATTCACCTATATTATATAGGTTTACCTTACGCCCTATGTATTATCTCTACCTATCTATTGCCTATACCGGGAATTGAACCCGGGACCTCCGCGTGGAAGTCGCGCACCTTAACCACTACCCTATCGGATACCCCCACTAATAATATAATATGGGACGCACTGTTGTTTCCGCGGGTCATTTTCTAATTAATTAGGTAATTAATACTAAGGTGGCGCGACGACACGCGAAAAAAGACGGTTGATTGTAGCGTTACGGTGGTGTAGTGGATAAGGTCGTCGCGTGCCACGCGGCGGACCCGGGTTCGAATCTCGGTAGGGTTAATGTAGCGTGTAAGGGAAATTATAGGTAATAGGATATATAGTAGATATAGGTTAGGTGTATTCGGTATACAATGTAGGGATTTGAGAGTATATAATGAAATATAGCGTATGGTACATATGTAAGGCGTGTAGTATAGAATGCAACGTATAGGCACACGTAAGGCTATAAAAATACATGAATAGGAACCTATGATGTAGATGTTAGCGTATAAGAAATGCGAATGAATGTAAGATTTAATTTATAAATATTATTTTTTCTATAAGAAGTTCATACACCTCAATTTGTTACTAAATTAAAAACGACTTTGATAAAACCAGTGGTTTTGTGCTAATATTTTTTTGCCGGAACGCTAAAATTTAAAAACCGGTTCTAAAACCGGTTTTCATGTTTTTCCAGTTCCGTTCAAAAAGGAAAGAAACAAAAATTGTTACAAAACCCATTTTGTGCACATATATGTATGTTTATTACAATAATAACATTTAATAAAAATTAGTTGAATAATAACGTATAAAATTTACTTATTAAATCATTTTCTGTATGTAGCGATGTTTTTATATTTTTTCTTGCCGGAACGCGTTCCGGCTCAAAAACGATTTGCCGGAACGACGTTCCGGCGCGTTCCGGCTCGACAACACCACTGGTGACAGTCATCATAACACCTAAATTGATTTTGATAGAGGGCCAAAAGCAGAAAGATGAAGTATGTATGTTCGAACAAGTTTCCATTATTGCATTAAGTCTGCGCTAATCTGTGGACCTAAATAAGTAGACTTAAATAAATCCTAATCTAGAATTATGGCCAATCCATCAAAATTTATTTACAATAATAATATAAAAATTTCTTAGATTTTAAGTATAAGGGAGAGACTGGGTACGGTTACGGTTGTACCAGTATGTGGTTGTGACAGTCATTATAATACCTTAACTTATTTTTAAATAGAATCCGAAGGAAAAGATGAAGTACATTTGTTCGAATAAGTTTACATTTTTACATCGAGTCAGTAGACAGCTTTTGAAGAGTTCGATTTCTTTTAATAATAACTGTTGATTATATATGCACATAGATAGATAACTTTGTTTTTTATTTTGGGATAATTCGAACATCAATAGTTAATTACCAACGATTATTTTATTTTATGTGACATGTATATATAATATGTTGTAACATGTTTTTATCCTCTTCGGACGAATACTAAACGGCTAAAAAACTCTAACTAAAACAAAATACGGAAGAAAAAAGGAAAGAAAAATTTAATACAAGAAAACAAAAATTTCTTGTTTAAAACATATTTTGTATATATTATTAATTGATAAGCTTTGTTAAAGTAAATATGTTGTATTAAGTTAGATATTTTTAGCAATAAAAGTCGTTATAAACCATTCTATTACCCTGTTACAACCGTCCAGGGGATGTGGATAGTTGTACCATTCACCCAATTCTTGTATGGTTTGATTTTACGACCAACCCATCATATTTAATGAGAGAATTTCAGTAGTGCCACGTAGACAAATGTTCGAATTACCATTTAATTCACTTCTCTCCTACCTAACTGGTGAATTACCAAAATTATTGCTGATCAAAAAAGAGTAGCGCAACCATACCCAGTCTCCCCTACATGTAATCTTGTAATCAAATTAATTTATTCCACATTTAGCATTCCATTATGAATAAATCTAATACAAATGTTCCTGAATCGATCAAAAGTTCGCTCTGTCTCGATATAAAGACAAATGTGCCGATAATCTGGCAGAACTTCGAGATTCATTTAGCTAACAAAAGCGACGTCGACATGTGTATTGTTTGCCAGTAATTCAATTCTTTGTCATTCGATTCTTTTGACTGGAAGATGCTTCAAGTTTATCGGGTAAAAGTGCATCGGATACGACAATGGCACTTCAAACTAAAGTGCAAAACTGTCGTAATGCATTTACTTGTTCACTTCCAGAATTACTTAAAGGAATTATAGAGAATTAAAAATTACTTGGTAACGAGTAACAGGTAGTGTTTGAGATAGGATGTAAGTATAAATACTAATTTTATTAATATCTGGTAGATTCATACATTAGATCCATATTTGACTTATGTATCTTATCATGTATGATACAATACGAAGTTGTGTCCTCTCTACATGAAGGATACACATTTACTCTAAATTTCAATTCAACTGTAGGTGCATATTTCTGCATAATTCGCTCTCTAGATACACAGTCCATCATGCGACATCTAAAATGAACCCTTGGTCCCATATCGGATGTGTTTTCGACTTGGAGAAAAGCTCTTAGGTGAATTACTCCCTGGGTCACAGGTGCGACGAGCTCGAGTCTTATGGCTTGTACAAGGCCCACTAATAGCAAAGCAACAGCAGCTCTGGGAATTATATTATATACTTGCTCTTTCCTCTCATCACAGATGAAAATTTGACGCATGCAGAGCGAATATTACGATCATAATATTTTTGAATGGGTATATTACCGGAAACATTA